TACAATTACAGTTAACTGGCTTGAAAGGAACTTGTCAGGCAAAAGGTGGCACCATAGTAAAATGTACATAATATTGCTTTGAATATATCTCTCTCATTCATAATAATGATTTGGTAAGCATAATCATCACAGGTGTTAATTTTATACTTAATATTGGTCTCCTTAAACGTTCCAATCGATCTATTTTTTCATATTGTACAACGACTACTAGAAAACTAGTAATCGTGTATTGTACACTTAATGTTTTTTTTAAGTTTCACAACTCGTAAACTGTTGTCGTCTGTTCAAATTCAGTCATTACAGAGCCAACAATTGCCTTCAAATAACTAGTACGTATACCCAAACAATGTTAACTAAATTCCATGAGATTCTATATCTAAATTAGTAAATGAAGATTGAGTTGAAGATAAATCCAGTAATACTGCACATCGATATTACCAACATCATTTTTAATAATTGTATTTTCTGGAAGGACGTATAAAAATGTATGTAAATGTAATTAACACCTATTTTATTTTACGTTATCATTCAAGCGAGGAAAGTTCATTTTGAAGACTCCACAGTTTGTGATTAAATTAAACATTAGGTTGATAAGCCACAATGTTTGTAAAAACTAGCCTGATCAGCTGTTTTCAACAAACAAAAACCTCAGAGAGAGAGATCAGGTTGGCCTTAGTTCAGAGAACTGTTGCCAACTTAAATAAAAAGCCTAGAACTGGAGCAATGAATAATCAAACTAATCCATAATATTTTTTAGGATTATAATGCATAAATTACGTAACAGAAATATATAAGTTTTAATGTTCATACGTAAAAATAATACCAGAATGAAAAACAAACATAATAATAAGAATAATGTAAATGCAGGGCGTTTCAGTAATGATTTGGAAGTTTTAACTAGTTGTAATTTGTTTTACACTAAACTTACTTCATAAACGATACATAAATTACATTATACTATGCGACATAATGTGAAAAACATGTCATACAATTCCGGTCAATACCACTCCAATCTACTTTCTCCCTTTGCTCATCGTCAGGCATATACAGTATTGTATCAATTTATACGTGAAGATGTACCATGTAAGGATAATAATAAACAAACAAAACAAACTGCGTGTGTTGCCCATTAATTTGACTATTTTACCATTTAAAACGTTTGGTACAATAGAGATCTTAAAGGGTAAAACACTGATACTACTTTTAAACACCCTTGGCTGAGTGGTTATAATACTTTCCTAACATTCACGAAATCACCTGTTCGATCCGTTTTGATCATAACTGAGCCCAGCTGATAATCGGGCTTTTAAATGGTCCTGTATTAACAATCAGCTGATCTTATTCAGTACCAAGCTGCACAGGTCATCTCAATTCCATTCTACACTTATGTTGAATTCTTATTCACCTACGCACCTAGGTGGGTTGTAGCCACAAAAGTAATGATTCGTGCTCTGCTCACAATGAAGTAAAATTAAAATATCCTAAATGCATCTGATGATTTGTCCACAAAGTGCGAAACTGCCTTCCAAGCAGGATTGCTCAAATTACCCATTTCCCCTGAAAGCATGTGCCTTTTAGGACTTATTGTATGGAATATATCAGGAGCTTGAAAAAATAAGTCAGTTGTAGATTTTAAGTCTATCAATTGTGTATAAATATTTGTACCCACGTATGTTTATGTGGTTTGTTCAAGATAAGACAAATAGGAAAGTCTTTTGTTAGGGAATTTTATCAGGCTATGTCTGTTATTTACCATCTTTGTGTAGCTTATTATCAGTTGTCAAGTTCATTTAAAGATGTAAAAATACTCTGAATATCGGGAGATTGATTTTGGATACGACAAGTAGACTTGACTTATATTATAAAATCCGGAAGCCTATGTTGATGTTTGTTAGATGTTCGGAAACACTTGAGTGGATTTGTCGATTTAAGTTTTTTTTTTGGGGGGGGGGAATTTTTTCGTTTATTTTTTACCCTACAACATTAGAAAACGAGCAATAGTTTGTGAGTAATCACCTTAGTTCGTTCAAAGTAATTTTGTGTTGGTGCAGTAACAGAAAACAATCGGTATACATCAAAATGTACTCGTCATGTACCAGATGTCAACATAACCTCTTCAGTTGGTCTACAAGGTTAAGGAATTATGTTTAACTGTAGTTAGTTGGTTAAATAATTGAAACCATTACAACGAATGAATATTCTTACAATATTTGATAAGGATTCTCACTGGTCCGATCCCCTATTCCTCTCCCCCGGTCCGTTCCAACTTTCCTATTCCCAGCATGCGCATGGGCATCGTAATATCTGTACTACTGTATTTACTGTTCGCATTCCCTGTTATAGCTTACTTCTTACTTGCTGTTTGGCTTATACTTGTGTAACTCATGTTAGATGTACTGTGTATTATATAAGTGAATAGTTTTAAATCAGTATTTAAGCTTGTCCTATAATATTAGTTGTGTTGAGGTTAGTTTGTTCATTTTTAAGAAATATAGTTACTTGACATTATGTACTTTGGCTTTAAATTAATTAAAATAAAAAAGCTGCTTTAAGTATTACTGAGGATTAGATTTGCAAAGATTTTGGCAAAGTATATTTTGTTGTTTGAAGATTATTTGTAATGCTAATTGTTAACGGTAGTCAAATTTGGAAACTTAATTTGTATTCTAGATAACAAAGTCGATGCATAATTTATTTTTAGCCATTTTAATGTTTATACTGTAGAATATTAACTAAGTCGTGGGTCTTTCTTGTCTGGGTTTTATTGCAATGTATTAACTTTGATATGGTCAAAGCTATTATGGTGTGTTAACATTCTAAAATGCCTTAGTTAAACTAACTCTTAATCACTTGCGATGCCAATAACCATAATACATAAACAATCGTAATTGAGTGAATCAACTTTTGTCGTGATTATTATGTAAATGCGAAATGCGATGGATTTATGAACTGCATTTTTATGTACCAGTATTCATCTAAATCTTAAAACAAGTAATAAAAATAAAAATTTGCATACATATTTACATTCAAAACAGATCAAAACTCTTTAACACAATAGAATTTAAGCTAGATACTTAATTACTTTCATACTTTTTGGCAATACAAAATAAATTTTTCAAATAAATTATTATATCTAATTAAATGAAAAGCTCTGGTAGGCTATTAAGTATGACTATGAGGTAATATAATCTAATCAGGTGTTGTACATTAGGTTTATTTGAATTGGCAAATGTCACCTATTGAACAATTTTTATGTAACACATCAAAGATAAGTTTACAAATATTATTCTAGCATCAGCATCATTAGCATAAATGTTTGTGTATCTTCATAATTATTTATTATTATCCATTAATTATTATTGAAATTGTATCCTACGATTTGAAAACCATCCTCGCAAACAAGCTGTTGTATTTTGCCATGCAAAACGTTGAACCTGATTGCATTCTAAATTTTTTAAATAATAATTTAATAAATAAATGTTAAAAATAATTTCGAACATCATTCAACGAATCAAATCGTGAAGGAATAATATGTTGGACATTTGATTGATAACTGGCCATATCATTAAATTGCACTATAAATATGCCCCAAAAAGAGGCTTAAATCAAATGCATGCAAGAGACAATTTTTATACTTTTAAAGACTAACTCCCCTAATACAATAAGAACTTAGGAGACGTTTCTATGTACTATATGATTATATTCTAATTTTCCAACTATTCATTTTTGAAGGATTAACCATAAATTTAAAATAGTAAAAATCATATTAAGCACACATGTTGCCGTATGTAGTTTAAATTTCTCATCCATCCAAACCCGAAGGAGCAATGGGGAAATTCCAATAATTCAAAAATAAACTTTATAATTACAGCATACGTGTATTCTGTTACATACATATACTGTAAGACACAAAGCAACAATGCTCAACGGTTTAGCGGTCTGCGAGTTGCTGGGAGACTGCCAGCAGACGACGGCCGATGCCCGCGTATTGATTGTAGTCCATTCCCGCCAAGCAACTCTCCTGTCTTGCAGCATTGCGGGGCCCTAGGCTCTTGCCAACAGACTACGGCTCGTATATCATAAAACCCATCCGACCGACATATACAGTAACATTGTGCAATTCTGGATTCATTACAATTTGTTTACGAACAGTTTGATTTCTTAATTCAAACCATTGCATTTTTTGTTTAAATTGGTTGTAAACATATTTGCATACACTGAAACCCGTCCACTTAATTTTAATGCAGAGTATCATACAATTCTTCCAACTCTAAATTAAAAAAGTACTTTACAGGCGAGAAAAACATTGCTAGTGGTGACTTATACATTTTTTCTTCAAATATTTAATCATATTCTGCTTCATAAACATTGGGATCGTTTCCAAAGATTAATCCAAGCTTGTATTTAGCAATTGTTATGCAGTAATTTTTTAATTACAGACTGTTAAAATTGTCTCGCAGTATTTAAAAGTTCTTTGTTTGATGTGCACTACTGTACCACCGTGTACCGCCTATAGTAAATCAACCACATGTTTCATAATTATTCAATGTTCTATGTTGGCAATAAGTAAATATCAATCATATGTTATTATTAATAATTAGAGTGTTAAATAAGTTATCAACAACATTAGACATTTTGTATCAACCAATTATGTATTGTAAAATAAATCTTTCCAAATGAAGCAACCCTAATCAATTATCAAACTCAACTAAATACGCGTGCATAAACAAGGCCACGACGCCGCCACTACTAATTAAAAGTTATTGTGCTATCTAAAGACGAAATAGTTCAAGCTGTTGCCGTTCAAAAGACGAATCCCATTCCTTAGTGTAACACCACATATATTCCCCTTCTACACAAGTATGTCAAAGATTCATGTGAAATTTTTAAATCGACAAGCACATTTTCCGAACTCAAATTTAAACAAGAAAGACCCAAGACGATCAAACTGATTCAGCCACCACTGTATAACTTATGAGCTCCTGTCTATAAAATTGCAGCATCCGTTGTCATGGCAAATATCCAAGGACAATACTCGAATGACGGGTCACATGATCCTGAAGAAGACCCAGCGTGCAGATGGTGGAGGGCCGTCCTCTTCCACGAGTATCTTAGGACTGAAGGTGGTGGGAGGACAACTTCTACCAGGGGGCGGCCGGGGTGCAATAATTGAGAAGGTCAAGAAAGGCAGCACGGCGGACAAAGAGGGGCAGCTCAGGCCAGGTACTGTATCGTGGTTTTTTATTCTTCTCGAACTTCTCAAAAGTCTTCAGCTGAAGTCATTCAGATTCATTCTTTGTGCTTTTGTCCTTGTTGGTGTAAGTAGACGAGGGAAAAGTTGGTCAACCAGAAAACCAAAAATCACCGGTTCATACGAAAATATTGAATTATTTTTACAGTTTTAATCTAAGCGGATTATCTTTGAGAGATTCATCAATAATCCGGTTCACAGAATTAACAACAACATCTATCTGGCAACATAAATACCCAAGGTACGAGGGTAGTGACCCCTGTGTAAAATTAACTGCATCAATTGCCTGATGTGCTCGTCTGTGTGTATGGTGACTAGTTGGAATTGTTGTACAGGACATTGATGATAGGCTAAATAGCTCAGTAACTGAATTGTTATAATGTCCGTCTAACGATAAAAAGATCACCAGTGTGATTACGAGAAAAGTCTTTTGCTTTTTGATCGTTTGAAACAGGATCCAGCTGTATTTGATCACAGAACTAAAAGCTGTCTTTTCCTAGCGACTCGATTGAGCACGTTAACTCGGCGTGCGTCGTGCTCCACGGTTGCCGTTGCCGGAGCCACTTAACACTTTAGCTCTGCGTTCCATCAACCACGCTGTTCCTGTCCGCGCGCGTTCCTTGACATAATCACGCAGCACGTACTACTAGGGTGTACTAGTATAGTAGTAGGGTGGTTACTGAAGCTAGAGGAAAATGCAGCTTGAGAAATGCTCCTGCCGAAAAAACGAGCTACATCTATATATTATTGTGTATTACGTATTACGTTGTTCTTACACACTCCTTGCATTAATTAGTATAAAACCCTGGTTAATAGTAGCATAATCTCATAGTGATCAGGTATCCGAAAATGTTCAGGGATCTTTGTGGGCTAGAACCTAGAAAGTTGGGTAGTTCTCTTTTTAAATAATATGAAAAAAATGTTTTTCCCCTTTTGATTATCCATTCCAAACTTTATTTTACCGTTTAGGATTATGGTCCTCAACATAACCTAAAGGCATCAAAATGTTTAAAGAAATATTTACTCTGTGGTTATAAAGGTCAGGAAAGCATCCAAGCGGATATTGGCAGATCAGAAACCGGGTAAACAGAGATGTTAGTAGTTTGCGTCACAAGATTAGGTTTCAACCGCCGCCGCCGACTGCATTGGAAATGCAAAAAATACTATTTAAAACATATCCAATACGACTTATGGTTTGAAAACAATAGATGGATGCAGTAAGTAGTCTAATAAATAAAAACATAGATTTTAGAGTTTGAATTTGGGGTTTAAAAAATTGCTTTTTATTAAATGTTTAGCATTAAAATTGCTGCCATCGTGTAAGAGCTTCAAAACAAACAATGATGTATGTTGCGTTGTTGTAATGGTTAAAGTTGCGGAGTAATTAAAAAAAAATACTGTGCATTTGTAAAGGAAACTGCTATAGTTTGCTTTTTATGAAAATATAAAATAAATTTAGCAAATATATTTATTTTTTCCTATACTGTTAACATTTGATCAAAATACCCTTCCCTTCCCCGTAGTAGCAAACCTACTGTACTGTACTCGTTAAACCTATTGTCAATTACTGCATAAACATGACTTGGACATAGAAATATTTTAGTCAAAATCCTAACAGGAAATAAATTCGCTCAGGTTTACTGCGGTGGGGGAGTTATCTTCGGATGTAATCCGTCACTTTTACAAGCTCACTCGACTACGACAACCACACTGTGAGTGATCAAAGAGTTTGAAATGATCGTCCCGAGAAGACATTGATCGTTGACGTCAGACCACGCACTTACAGCGATGACGTCTTTCATGTCTGTCCTCCTTTCGGCGCAGTAATTGCATGGTAATGTGCAAGCAGGACTTTTCAAAAATCTGATAATAAAACTGTAATAGTTTGAGAAACATACGTCAGTCAGTGAATTTGCCAACTAGAAAAGTGCCTCGAAGAGGAGTAGGGCCTATTCTTATACTATCAGGAATATACAAACGAAACACGTACCGGTAATATCAATAACACACCCTGTTGAAAGAAATCTCGTTTTCGATTAAATTAATAATTAAAGAGCGCTGGCTGAAAAAATATTTTTTTATTACTCGATGGACCGATGATTTGGATTTTAACCAAAATTCGACTTTTTGTCTATGTGGTATGTTTTACATCGTGAACCAAATAACACAAACGTAATCCAGATTTTAACATTACCTACACCGTAGATGCAAAACTAATTATTCAATTGATTGGTAAATACAATTTTCCAACAATAACACTTAATTGTTGGCAATTCCAATATTCTGTAAACACAAAAGTATTTATAACGTGAAATAAACCAAATAATTGTATTGCAGAGGTGCAGAATCGCCCTTCCACAGTGGTTAGTTATGTAAGAAGATTTAGGTCAGAGATTACAGAAAACTGATACTAGACATCAGCACCATCTCTGTACCCAGCGGCGAACTACTAGCGTTGCAGTCATCCCGCCACATTCAAACTTGTGTTTCCAATAAGGTTCTAAAGTCGAAGTCTGCTGCATTATTTCCCACATTCTCTAATTTGCAGTACGATTTTGATCTGTACGAGTACGAGTACCTATAGATAAAACATACTGGAGTATGTTTTATCTATGCCCATAATGTTGAGGTTACGAGATAATAGTCGTAATACATTACAAAATGCCCTCATGGACAATTTCGTAATGAATTTAATTTCTTAACTCTGTTTTTCGAGGGACTGAGGGAGGCGTACATCTAATATATAAAATTCTCGTGTCACAGTGTTTGTCTGCAAACTCCTCCGGAACGACTTCACCGATCGTTATGAAATTTGGTGTGTAAATTCTGTAGGTATGCGAATCGGACGTAAACTATTTCCCGTTTCGAAATTCTTAAAAGGGCTCCGCCCCAGTGGCTCTGGAGTTTCCCATGTTAACCTTATGAGAAATGGAATTAATGAATCTTAACAGCTGTTTCAATTAAACAAGTTGGTTCTGTTCTTTGATGTTCAATAGCATTAAAGTTACAAGGATTACCAACAGGGTGCAGCACTATTATTTCTTTTACATTTATGACAACAGCTAATTTGCAACCAAAAGGTGAGTGAGCGTAGCGAACGAACTTCAACCTGGAGGCGAGTTAGCGTAGCGAACGAGCTAACCTGAAGGCAAGTGAGCGCAGCGAACGAGCTCCAACCTAAAGGTGAGTGAGCGTAGCGAACGAGCTCTAACTCAAAGGTGAGTGAGCGTAGCGAACGAACTTCAACCTGGAGGCGAGTTAGCGTAGCGAACGAGCTAACCTGAAGGCAAGTGAGCGCAGCGAACGAGCTCCAACCTAAAGGTGAGTGAGCGTAGCGAACGAGCTCCAACCCAAAGGTGAGTGAGCGTAGCGAACGAACTTCAACCAGGACGTGATTGAGCGATGCGAACGAGATCATCTTGAAAATTAAACGTAACGGTACTTTCTTTCCATCGGTCTGTCTTAGGGGAAACCTATAACTTAGGCGATACGAAGTTCGCCGGGTCAGCTAGTGTTCTTATAAAAATATATCTGGAGGAAATGTTGGTAAAAAGAGTGGTACTTTTAACAAGCTCACATGTGAATTTTCACGATTCGAACTGGCAACACTTGATTTCATCATTGATTTTGAAAAGTCAATATTTAATACAGTACACTTTCATAACAACGATGCTTTGTGAAATTATTTGAATCCACGAACACTGGTGACGCAGGACACAACCGGTTACCGGTACTGTACTACTCCAATTCAGTCTGGAACTGACTTGTCCTGTAGGTAGACTGGATGCAGACGCGAAGGTCTGGGTCTGACTGACTCTGAACCGAAATCGGAGCAAGATCAGATTGTAATGAAATGAAATGAAGTGATTAACAAAACAAGTAAGTAGTGATAACGATAATAGGAACCGATTTAACCCAACCGGAATCCGGAATACCGAATCGAATCGAATACTAATGGCGATGGCGGTGAATATGAACAACGTTATGTGCGGTGTTTGCGAAGTTTTGTGTTTTGTCGTTGAAATTTGTGAGGTGAATAAAATAAGATCTATTGGACCTCTTCGTTAAACGGCATTTTCAACAGAGAAACGAGAAACTATGTGGTTTTTGTAACATTTTACCCTTGATGAGTTTCCGTCCTTACAAGAAAAATAGGCCTATCCTATGGCTGTAAGAAGTGCGACCAAAAATGTGTGTTTATTGTGTAAAAGTGCCAAAAAATATACAAGGTTGTAACAAATTTAGGCCATAAAAAGTAGGCCTATTTGATGGAAAAAATATTTTAACCTGAAAGAACACTTGGAAGAATAAAGGGATCAGAAGCACAACATGACAACCGTGCTTACTTCAAATATCAAGCAAGTACAAGTAATAGCTGAATCACAGATCTTTGTAATATAATCTACACTTGGATGAGTTGTCCCATTTGACGTCTAGAAGCATTGATCTACCCATTGTTACTGGCCATTGCTTCCTTGTGCAGGTGAAAAGCCAATAAGCCAACTCATAAACACCAAAATATGACAACAGTCGCAAGTAACTGTTGGAGGGTGGGGGTTGGGGACAGTTTAATTACTTAACAAAGGATTTCAGCTCCTGATGATTTTAAGGTACGATGCAATTTTTAATCCAGGATCGTTATATCACACTTGAAAGGCAATGGCGGGAGGTGATAAACTACAACTCGAGGTATCACACCAGGAGAATCCACTTTTTAGGTTATCTTGCAGAATGTAATATGCTTAAAATAAGATATTCTTTCTCCAGAAGACTTCATTACTGTACTATTTCCAGACCTTCTCTGAGGTTTACATTCAACCTACCGACAGTAACTACAAGTCTGTGTTTTGTTAGATCAAAAGTTTGTTTAGCTTAGTATTTGAGACTTACACCTAATTTAATAATTCTATTCAATTTAATGCCACATTTTGTTCTAATTGTTATTGTTTACATTTTGATTTTTTCACTCAATTTCAAGGATCTGTGTGTTTAGAGATTGTAAGGGCGCTATCCATTCTGAACAATTTACCATCATTCTTTATGAACATTTTTGATCTTGTTCCTGAGAAATCAATTTTTTTCAATCGTCGTCTATTGTCTAATCAACAATACCTTTTTGTGTGCAGGTGACGAGGTTGTCGAGTGGAACGGGCGATCGTTGCAAGGCAAGAGCTACCAGGAAGTTACTGACATTATTGCCGAGTCCAAGCAAGAGCCGCAGGTGGAGCTGATAGTGACTCGGCTGCTGCCCAACAGACGTGGCCGCGGCCAATATCCCCCCTCCCCCACCACCTCCCACAAAGGTTAGGCTTGTTATATGTTGTGTGTAGGCCTTGGTAACCTATATGAAAGCAATGATTTCAAAAATAAATTTTGATATGGTAGTTTTGTATTCTTTGAAAGTTGGCCTCTTAGATGATTACCCTCATCAAATTAAATATGCCGTCATGTCATGAACTCCAAGGGTTTTTTTATGCAACATATTGTATTCAGGACAACGGAATGCATCCTACTACGCAATTTTTATTGTTACAGTATATCCAATTTATAATTTTTTCCAAAGTGTGATTAGGGATCTACTCAGTAAATATCACTATAACCATGGCAATTTACCTTTGACTATTAATTGAAAGAAGTAGACAACCTGTTCCCGATGAAAAAAAATGAACACGGCATAGTTGACGTAAGCTACCAACACAGAGCGCTGATATAAATGAACTAAACATTTTTCTTAAATACCTACGCCAACCTAAATTTACCAAGCCAAGCTATAAATATAACTCATATATATATATATAGCATTATAGTACCGGTAACTTCTAACTAACAGTGGCTAAATTTAGATTGATATATAGAACTTTAAACTGGAATAGATCCTGTGAATGGTTAATACAACTATGTTTTTTTATATACATTACAGCTGCTCCATGTAAATAGGATGTTTACTTCATTATACCGTACACAAGACAATTCGTTTGTCTACTGAAAAATGAGTGATTTGTATATTTTTCTGATATAGTTGGTAAAAAAAGCTTTAAAATGACACTTCATTTAAAGAAATTGGTCAAGAATTAAGGAAGCTATGGCCTACCGACAAAAAAGTACTTTAGAAATTATATAAAGAAATATATATAGATTTTAGGAAATTGACAGGAAAGCAGGCTTACCTTTAAATAAGTCCATAGAGACACATAACACATCACAAAATTAAAAGTAGAAATTTTCGTGGTCACTGACCACTTTTTCAACCACTGGAGATTGGAGAAAATCAGATTTTCTCCAATCTCCAGTGGTTGAAAAAGTGGTCAGTGACCACGAAAATTTCTACTTTTAATTTTGTGATGTGTTATGTGTCTCTATGGACTTATTTAAAGGTAAGCCTGCTTTCCTGTCAATTTCCTTAATAATTCCTGGCAAATGCCCTATCTTTTTATAATATATATAGATTGTTATTTAACATTTACTATCGACTTTCCAAGCTGATGCTTGGGTTGCGAAACTGTATTTGCTGACGACTCGGCTTATGTTTTGATCAACTGTGCAAGTGTATCAATTAATATTTTTGGAAGGCATGGTAGTCTTTGATCATTGTCATAGTTCGTTGAAGATTATCTCGTGGAATAATCCAATTAAGAAAGGTCACTGAGCTTAGGTACGATTCTTCCTGGTCACCACCTGAATGATTGATCAGGGCTGATTGTTTATGGAAGAATAATCAAAGCTGTAGGCTCTTAAACATTACTGCTCGAAACTCATCTTAGTATCAAAGTGATCTTAATCTGTCTTTGTAAAAGATTTGAGTAGGTAATTGGTTAACTGAAGGCTTCAAAATGTACATACTTATTTACTTTTGCATTGCTTGTGTTATTTGTAATTTTAAGTGTTGTCTGTGCCTCACACCCAATTTGAATTTATGGGTGGATAGATTAACATAAAATATTAACTAAACATACCCTCTCGTAGATTTGTGAGAAACATTATGCATCAACCGTGGAGGAAATATAATTACATGTTTCTGCCCTGTAGCCTCTCAAACTCTCTCTCTCTCTCTCTCTATATATATATATATATATATATATATATAGTTCTGTTGTTTGCTAGGACTTATTTATGTTATCTAACTGAATTTAACATTTCAATTATTGCTTGCCATTTGCTACAATAACTATAAAGAGTAAAAGATTTACCCTAAGAAAATAAAACTGTTTGGTCTAACACATTGTAGCATCATAGACATGCAACACAATCAAATCAGACTTCAAGTTTTACAATATTTAACAAGCAAATGAGTAGGTTAAATAATTGGGATAGTGTAGAACCGAACAGTTCCACGACAGTCCCACCCGGGCAGACTCCGAGTCTCGCAGAGCAATCAACCTAACGTTAACGCGATGAAAAATTTCTGATTTTCCAAAAAAGTTACCCTATTGTGAGTATTGTATCAGATATGCGGGAGTATTTCTACTAAAAGCGGGAGAGCGGGAGTGGACATCAAAATGCCTCCCGCAAAATGCGGGAGAGTTGGAAGGTCTGTTTTTGTAGACCTACTCTATTTATTTGATATGATACTTGTGCCAATAAAACTGATGTTTGCACAGTACAAAACTAAAATTTTACGTTAAGATTGTGTTTAGTTTAGACACAAACAAACAAACTATATTTTAGACATTGAGGCACTTTTTTTTCAATTCCAATCTCATTGCCTACTGAAAAAATTTCTAAATTTAATTTATGGATGTATTTTTTCAGTAGTTGTAGTCGAAATAATACATTTTATTCTTGCCAAGTAGCTTAGATTAATTTTAGGCCTATCAAAGTCATATTTTAATATATTTTTAAAATAATATTGTAGGGTAGATATGTTTTAAACTCTAAATGCATGTTTTTCTGTTAATGTAAAAGCTTATTCTATCACAAAAGGTTAAATTAAATGAATTGTCTCTTGTATTAAGATTTAAGGTGCCGGTAGTAAAAAAAAATGTATACACGATTCATACTTTTTTGTACATTTAATTGGGTATATTTCAATGGCAAGGTGTTTATGTAAGAAAATAAGAAGAAATATAATATATGTTGCTTCAATTAATTTACTTTTCTATTCTAACTGCCCTTTAACTAATTTAACTTTAAAACTGTGTCTTGGTTTTGTTTGAACAAAAACCATGAATGCTGTTTCCTTTTTACAAGACTTGCCAAATCATACTACGGTGTCAAGAAATCTTGTGGTAACAACATTATTCATATGTTGCTATTAACACTATATTATATCTATATGTGAACAGTATCGTTTCTCTTTGATAACCAATATCTTAGATAATACAGTTAGTTAATCCATAATTTATTTGTTGTAAGAGCTACAAAGCATATTTATTGAGGCTCTACATATTGAAAGCTGCTTTTATTTGGCTCGCAAAAACTAGTTGTTTCTTTGCTAACATTTGCTGCTTTCAGATTCATCGTACTTTGCCATTCCTTACTCCCTCCCGTATGTTTTAAGTATTGTTCGCTACTCTATTCCTTACTGAAGTTCATTGCGCAGTAACCTTTAGTGTATTTTGCAGGTATCACCGTAGTTTCAATACCAGCAACTTCTCTTAACCTTGACTAACGCTGCTTTTCTTTTTCAGCATTCCAAATAATTCCATGTTTAAATAAGGATTCATTGGATTCAGTTTGTGTTGTATACTTGCTGCTTGATTGGCTGGATTGTGACATTTGATTTAACGCTGTTGTACAAAACTGTTTTCCTTGAATGCTTTAATTGTATATTTACAAAAAGTAATACTTGTAGGAAATTTTGGAATTGTTACTGTATACAGGAATCTAACAAACTTGACACTTGGTCTTGAATAAGTTCTTCATAAGTTTGTCGAAATTATATTTAAGGTAAACGCTGTAAATTCTTCTCATTAAATTCACTATATCTTTTGTTACATTTTCAAATAATAACTAAATTAGTTCAGTTAAATCAAACTCGTACTTTAATGTAAACAGAAAAACTAATACAAACAAAACAAATACAAAATAACAGGTGATCATTAATTCACATACACATATGGTCAAGTCAGTACATCAGTTAAACACATCAATTCTCCCCTCTGAAATGTTTTGGTAACGTTATTTCGCATTTGAGTAGTTGTTCAACATGACGCCTCCAGACAGTTCCATCGTCCATTTGTACTTTATACAGAAGGTTGCTTTCCCTTTCCAATATTCTTCCAAAACACCACTTGTCTTTTGAGTTTGAATAATTTCTCGCTTTTTATCTGTCTCCCTCCTTAAAATATCTTGTTGCTTGCTTCACATGTTCAGTTTCTTGTTTACGTGTAGGATGTAAAAGAGCTATGTGTGTTCGAATCTTCCTGCCAAACATCAAGGAGTATGCATCACAGCCAGATGAATTTGAGGTTTGACAAAACTGCATAAGCATTCTGAAGAGTTTGAAGTCTATCTTTCTGCCTTCTTCAACTGTCCTTTTAATACAGCTCGTGCTTTCTTTAGATTATTCAACTCTTGTCCGTCCATTCTTCATTTTTCTTGTCGCGAATGTTACATTTTCAAATAATAAGTTAATTAAATTAGTTCAGTTAATTCAAACTCATACTTTAATGTAAACAGAAAAACTAATACAAACAAAACAAATACAAAATAACAGGTGATCATTAATTCACATACACATATGGTCTTAAGTCAGTACATCAGTTAAACACATCATCTTTCAATTATTGAACGTATTAGTGCAGTAGTAGAAACTTGTTTCTTGTCCGTGCTGGTGCCCAGGCCTGTGCTTTGCAAGTGATACGCTTTGGGCTCAAGAGACAATTGCACCCCTCTCTACTTACTTTGTGTGGTAATCTTTCTCTTATTTACGCCCCAACAAACCGTAAACCTCTTGATTCCCTGGGCCCGAGCCCATTTATTAAAGCGGCCCTTCTGGTGCCTTGATTGACATTGGATGAGTTTAAATAATTAGAAAAATGAACCGTCCTGATAGAAGGAATCTTTCTGAACACTGTGATTGGTAGCGTGCTTTGTTCGAGACCAGATTGATTTACTATCTCAACGCAGTCACCAATGGTTCATGTCTCCTACACAGCAACAACACTTCACTGTCTTTAAGTGTCCGACCAATTTGGTGCACCGACCAGTAGAGATGATGACGGGTTGTTGAAATTTTTACAAACAGTCACAGTAAACGTTGTAACTACCAACATCATCTATTTACCCTTGAAAAACTTGTATTTTCTTGTAGGGTTAGAAAATTCTTCTTAATGTTTTATCTGAAAATCAGTTTTTCAGTCAGTTCTAAAACAATATCCTAACCATTCTGCGTTTTATCCCTAAAAAATGTGTTGCTACTCAAGTTGTTAGCGTCTCGGACTTTGATTCAAGAGGAACAGGTTTGATTAATGCTTGTTCACTAAATCTTGGATGATTTTCCCTTCAATCGTTTTAGTTTCATGCATATACAAATTGCCACCGGTTTGTGCAATAACATAAATAAAATAAACAGAAATTTAACCCTTGCTGGGATACAAGTGTCATGTTTGTTGGATTTTGCTTTCCCTGTTTGACTGTTTGGTGTAACCGCTGAGATGTTGTTTCAGACACCTACGAAGGCGGAGGTCGCAAAGACAAGCCGAGTGTGTTGGTCACTTCCCCCGGGTCACCGGAGCTACATGCCTCCTCCAGGTCACACCGCATGCCTGCCTTCACCAACAGCAGCGTCGGCGGCCGCATACAGGTATGTGTTTCATCCGTGATTTAAATGTTCTCTTTATTTCTTATTTTGGTGTTCATCTACGTTTTTGGATTTTTTTTTAGTTTTTTGTAAGGGAATAGTCCAGAGCCTGGTTTGTTATTATTTAACATCAACCTTTTGTTATTAATTATTGATGAAGCTCTATCTGGCTGCCACCAAGACCCTAGCCAGATAAGGATTTGGCCAGATAAATTAACCTATTATTATAAAAAAAAGGGATTCCTGTCATTGGTCTAAACATCCCTACAGAATGGTCATGCTTCAGCTCAAATTGAATTTTGTTTAGCATATACTGTACTCATACAAGTTAACTGGTTTTATTGATTCCTCAATCCTCTTCAATAAAATTGTCAACATACCTCTTTGTTAAAAATTTGTTTTTGGTGATGGTAGTTTTGTTTAGTTTTTGGGACTATTGCAGAATCTTTTCATTACAATTAGCGAACAAAGTTTTTACATTTTTATAGGATCTGGAATCCGACCTCTGCTTATGTTTTTTAAAGTACCCTAAACATAACTGAAATAGTATTCAAACTCAGCCAAAGCTGGAAAATCACAAAAAAATATAGACAACTTTATATAGCATAAGTACAAAATTAAAAAACAATCCTGAAAGAAAACCATAGATAGGCCTAGTTCAAATAACAAAAGCAAACATATAGACATGTCAGCATAAGATGGTGGCTCCAAATTGGGATATCGTTTGGAGCTGTGGCTTGTAGGGAAGTAGGGGAGTGAGAGTTTACAAAACCATGGATGTGAGCGCTAAATCATAGACTTGAGCTAAGTATACTCTACAGCACCGGGTCATATCTCCGTCCGGCCAATGGTATTGTCTAAGAGTATATTTTCACGTAGTTATATATTGTTGTATCACAGGTGAAGCTGTGGTTTGACTCGGGTGCGCTACAGCTGGTAGTGACACTAGTGTGTGCGGCTGGTCTGATGCCCCGGAGTAACGGACAGCCTCGCAACCCCTACGCCAAACTCTTCCTCCTACCTGATAGAAGGTATGAATTTGTATCGAACAGTAGAACCTCTTTCAACCAAAACTCGTGTCAAAAATAACGATACATTAAAATAAAAACACTGGATGAACAAAGAAAGTCATGTGACCAAACAAAGAGATGTGGCTCAGGGATCAGGGTTAAGATATTTACGCTCTATAAACTATAAACACTATCCCCCTACGGTAAGATGAAACAGCTGGACATTCTGAATTTTAAATTAGAAAAGTAAACAAAACAGGTAATCAAGTGCTTTATCGCGTTTCTTTTGAGTTTCATGGTTTGAATTGAAAATCTAAAGCTAGTTTGTAAATCTGCACACCCAGATGTGTGATGCAAGTTATGTAGGCGTATGTTAGTCTTCAAACAAAAAAGCCTTATCGGGAAGAAACTTGCCATGTAGAGTATTAAATATATATAAATTTGTCAATGTTATCGTTATCGTTTTGAGGTAGTTTATTGCTTATTTGAAGAAAAGTTTCCATAGGATCTTGGAACTTAGCTTGGATCTTTATTAATATTATTGTATAAAACTCATGAGCTAGCGGTTACTCTGATTTAGGACATGTTAGAGTGTTCAGTCCCTGGTAATCCACAAAATGTTAGAGTTTTCAACCAGTATTTTGTACATAATTAATCATTTGTGTGTGTTTCAGTGAAAAATCTAAAAGAAGAACAAAAACATTAGCAAATACAAACGACCCAAAGTGGAATCAGAGTTTTGTCTACTCGTCGATCAGAAGAGCGGATTTGAAACTCAGAATAGTAGAGATCACGGTGTGGGACTATGTGCACTATGGGACCAACCATTTCCTGGGAGAGGTGGGTTCACTCGTGTTTTAGGAATTATTCAGAAGAAATAATCTCCGGAAAAGGCCAACATTAGGATGGGATATCAATGATTTTTTATATCAGCTAACTTACCTAAGAAAAGAGGTCCAGGTTGTTAAAAACACAGATAAAAAGTTCACAAAACAATAAATTTGATATTTCATCCCAACAAGGAGATTCTTCAGAAGAAAACTTTGAATACAATTACCCTTATTATTTGACAATTACACAATTACAATTAGAGTTATTATTTGACAATTAAGTTATTATACAATTACTTATTATTTGAATACATCTATTCCCTCTTAATATATTCCTAAGCAAAGGGCTTTTACAAAAAAAAACCCCCAATGTTATGTTTTGCGACCTTTTATTGCATATCTATCCTTTGGATTATAATTTTCTCTAGCTCAACCCTCAAAATAGCAAACTTTTCAATATAATTCCTTATTTAGTCACTAGCTTTCTTTAAAAATATTACTCATTCTCCGATAGCCATTACCAACTAACTGCCTCCGTTTCTGATCCTGTACATACTCTTGATTGGCTCACAACATTCGGACATCTTTAGGTATTTCATCTTTCCATTTTTTTTTTCGTCCAGAGGGTCTTTTTACATCATTGGTTTCTTATCATGTCCGTTTTACTATATCTTATCACATGTCCCTCCTCTCTTTGGGATCATCTTTTTTTCAGTCTGTTTTAGTTTTTCAACATCATCATCTTGTCTGTTTTTTGCTTCAGCAACTGCGTCTGGTGCTTGAAACAGATTCCTTCGTTCCCTTTTATGCTTGATTCTCGATTCTCTATCTAATTTTGTTGATACAAAGATATTACTGGTACTGTATGTATAATTTATTTTTAAATATCACTAGGTTTTCTCCATTCCTATATCTCAAAACTAAATACCAATTAGTGTCAAAGTTTGTTATTCAATCTAATATAATGTAATGCCATGATGTATCAGTTCAGTACAGTCAAATTTCATTATGTTGGGTGTTTATGCTCATATAATGAACAGAAAAACATTTTTCACTGTAAGCTATTATATGTTCATTAAATGCATTTTCAATAGTACAGTATAGTACTGATTAAATACACTCTACATAATCAGGAAATACAATTTACCTTGTCCTTTTTTAAATTAAATTCTATTCTATTGTGTTTCGAGTTTCGATAGTAAGCAAAATTTTGTTTGCATAAGTAAATACAGTGCTCTGACTGTGCTAAAACCAACCGATTCTAAATCAAATTTTAAAATGCACCTTAATCAACAACAATAGAAAATTTTTCAACAGGTTCCAACATTTTAGAGCAGTTTATCTTAGAGATTTTTCAATTTTGTTATAGGTTATGGTAGAACTGAGTGTGGCACTTCTGGACAACGAACCTGAGTGGTTTCATCTTAGTCCACACGAAGAAGTTCTAATACCACATGTGAGTATTAACTTTACTGTGGATTATCTCAATTCATTAATTATGTTTCTGAGTTAGATTTTAGATTAGACGCTGACACTCGGTGTAAAGGTGAAGAATGGGAAGATTACTGAAGGATGAGTCTTGATTGAGATTATAGTTCTGTTTCTGACCAAGATGGTTCTGATTCTTTAGCCTGGACCATTTATAAAAACCCCAATGTAGCTGGGTCCAGTTTTGAACCATCAAAACACTTTGGACCTCTCTCAGGATTAAATCAACAACCTTAGTTCTTAGAAACATTTTCAATATTTTCATCTTTATTTTGGATATTGATCTTAAAGCTGTCAAATAGGCTGTATTCTTTAGAGACTAAAAGATTGATTGATTATACAATAGTTTTTAAATAATAGTCCCTGTTTTATTGAAGACAAATATTGAATTGAATTTGTCAGTCACGATAAGCGAATAGCGTGTACTTGTGGACCACAAGTATATACATGAGCTTCTAGCCCAATTAGTATATATACACGAGAAATCTAAATTTTCATTAATCTATTCATGATCCTATTTCTTGTTTTTCAAAATTGCCGTTAGATCAAATCGACACTAGTCCAATTCAATAACCAAAAAAACCTAAAATCAATTATGAAAGTAGCGCTTTGGTTACATTCAGAGTTAGATTGACAAACAGGCGCTCTATACTTTTTTACAAAACTGTTATGCCTGAAAAAATGTCAATCAGTAGGAACATTTTATTAATTTAAACATCTGGAAATTTTACGCAGGCGGTTGAGGATGTTGACATTGCTCTGACGCCCACTGACCACCTGTCGCCACCGAGCACGACGTCACGCCTCTCGGACTCCGACCCCTCTGACCTGGACGACACACGGGAGAGGAGAGTAGCGGACGGAGCCTCTGTCAGCAGTCTCGGTAGCTCTGCCAGGTAAGAGGAACAAGAAATACAAATTGTTTGAGATATTATTGCGGACATTTTTTATTACACAGGGTGTCTAGTAGTCGGGAAAATCGGGAAAGTCGGGAATTAATATTGAATTTCAAAATGGTCTTGAAAAGTCGGGATTTAGTCTTAAATTTGATTTCAAAGTCGGAAATTTTCATGATTTTGCCGCGATCTTCGTCTTGCGTTTACGTAACCGCAAAAGCCAATGATGATGTCTACACGGCCTCGGGAAATGTTCACGATTTTGCCGCGATAGTGGACGACGACGATGACGTTTCCGAAACCACGAGAGACGACGATGACGTTTCTGTGACAGCGGACGACGACGATGGCGTTTCCGTGACTGCGGGAGACGACGATGACGTTTCCGTGACCGCGGGAGACGACGATGATATCTGCTCGGCCGCGGGAAATGTTCATGATTTTGTCACGATCGCGGACGACGACGATGACGTTTCCGTGACCGCCAGAGATGACGATGACGTTTCCGTGACCGCGGGAGACGACGATGATGTCTACACGGCCGCGGGAAATGTTCATGATTTTGCCGTGATCGCGGACGATGACGATAACGTTTCCGTGACCGCGGGAGATGACGATGACGTTTCTGTGACCGCGGGAGATGACGATGACGTTTCCGTGACCGCGGGAGACGACGATGATGTCTAAACAGCTGCGGGAAATGTTCATGATTTTGCCGCGATCGTGGACGACGACGATGACGTTTCCGTGACTGCGGGAGACGACGATGATGTCTACACGGCCGCGGGAAATGTCCATGATTTTGCCGTGATCGCGGATGATGACGATAACGTTTCCGTGACCGCGGGAAATGACGGTGATGTCTAAACAGCCGCGGGAAATTTTCATGATTTTGCCGCGATCGCGGACTATGACGATGAAGTTTCCGTGACCGCGGGAGATGACGACGATGTTTCCGTGACCGCGGGAGACGACGATGATATCTGCTCGGCCGCGGGAAATGTTCATGATTTTGCTGCGATCGAGGGAGATGACGATGACGTTTCCGTTACCGCGGGAGACGACGATGATATCTGCTCGGCCGCGGGAAATGTTCATGATTTTGTCGCGATTGCGGACGACGACGATGACGTTTCCGTGACCGCGGGAGATGACGATGACGTTTCCGTGACCGCGGGAGACGACGATGACGTTTCCGTGACCGCGGGAGACGACCATGACGTTTCCGTGCCTGCGGGAGACGACGATGATGTCCACACGGCCGCGGAAAATGTTCATGATTTTGCCGCGATCGCGGACGATGACGTTTCTGAGACCTCGGGAGACGACGATGATGTCATTGATGTCTACAAGGCCGCGGGAAATGTTCATGATTTTGCCGTGATTACGTTTCTGTAACCGCTGCAGTCAATGATGATGTCTAAACGTACGGTACGTGGAAGATTTCATGATAAAAAAACCAAATTTGCTATTTAGAACTGTTTATTGCTGCATTATTTCTTTACTTGAAAACACCACATTATCATAATAGTACTTTATGACAAAGACAGGGGTTGGTGTAGTATTATTCAGAAAATTTGGTTAAGCTATAAAAATTGTTATCGGTATCAAGAATCGAGAATCGATACATTTTGGTATCAACACCCACTAATTGTTGAAAAAACTAGTCTTGAAAAATTTGGAATTAGTCTTGAAAAGTCTGGAATTAGTCTTGAATTTTGTAATGGAAATAAACTAGACACCCTGATTACAATTAGAGAAAAAAAGTTTTCCTGACATTTGGGATCTGCATTGCGATCCCATCCTCAGGTAAGAAAGCACTTAAAACATAACAAAATTAGTAACCAAACCTAGCCAAGAAAAATTACGCAAAACTGAAAAAAACAAACCGAGGAGGCAAAACAAGGAACATCAAATAGGAAAACAATCAAATTCATTCATTTTGAGAGATGGGTCTCGCTTGAGCCATCTTTGAGTCATCTTGTGTTGGCATGACCATTGTGTGCTGGTGCTCTCATTCTCCAATAGGAAATAATTTGAATTAATTTTAGGGCCTAAGGCATTTTAGAGGACCATGATTACTTTACATTACTTTCATACATTACTTTACCACAGTTCAGACCTTAAGCACGAGACCAATATTACAGATCTCTGAAACAGTTTCAATTTTTCAATAGCACATAAATTGGATTAAAAAAAACTACTGCAAACTAAATATCACATCACATTATGTTTCTGCATCCTGAACACTTTTTACAATTGAAACATAAAATCTCAAACTGAATGATGAGTCTAATAAAGACATGTGTTTTCTAGCCCTCCTCCTGACGTAGAGATGGCAGAGAGACATCGGTCACGTCGAGACATGTCGCCGCAAGGGAGAAAACGAGCCACCGTCGTTCAAGTTAAACCTCACACACTCCCCTACGACTCACAAAGAAGAGTAAGCCTTATTCTTTAGACAAATTTAGTTTTTAAGTTACCTGAAAATACTGTTCAATCTTAAAACAATGTAGCCTTCACGTATTACAGAAATATAAGGTTTGAATTAGAATGGAACTTCAGTCATAGTTAAGCCACTCTGCACAATCGTCTGTATCATCTGTCCTTCCCAGGAGAAACCTGCTGACGACTTATATCTTCTGGTTTTTAGCGAATTTCCCATATAGGGAATAAGCTATTACCGTAGTACTCATGGTAAGACCTGGACGCGGGACCGATTTTTTTTTCGTTTTGAGGTCCCTAGAGGCCAAAAACACCATCCGTTCAAATTCATATATATATATATATATATATTTATATATTTATATATATATATATATATATGTGTCCGTCAGCACGATAACTCGAGCAAAAATGATCCGATTTTGATGAAATTTGGTACAAACGTGTAAACCTACGTCTATTCGAACGAGTTCGCGATCCAGCATGATCGGACCATGGGAACGGGTGTTTACGGGGGGTTTTATGGGGTAAAAATAGGTTTTTCCCAATTTTGACCCAAAAAACATAAAATTTAGCAATTAATTTCCAAACCATTTTGTAGAGCTTCAAAAAACAAATAATTTAGTATATTGAAGCGTTATTATGCGCCTAATGGTTACGGAGAAAATTCCAAAAAATTGTAAATTTAAAATTCCCATGTTATTCTTATGGAGAAAATGAAAACTGTTGTAGTTTCCCTACTTGTTTAGGGATATATTGATAAAATTTGGCAAATTTATTTATTTCATCCTATACTATTGACATATGGTCAAAAACACTTTTTACCTTCCCCGTAGCAGCAAACCTAAGCACTTGTTAAATCTAATGTTATTTAAATTGGGAATAAAAATATGTCTTATTTATAGAAATGTTTTAGTAAAAATGTAATCAGACAAGTTGAAATTCGCTTAGTCTGCAGGTTGGCTGCGGCGGGGGTATTTTAAATAGCTTTGTAATTTTGTCTATTTCTACGACTTTCAATTTTTTTTCGAAAAACAAAAAAAATACAAAAAATTCATAGGAATGTTAGCATTGTTTTACGAAGGGCCACAATTGACAAATGACATCTGGGAGACAAGTATTGACATGCACTAACTTGCATCAAGTGGCTTTACATATTTCTGACTTGTTCTGATAGGGACATATCTGATCCTTTTTTTTCAATCTAACACATTATTTGGTGTCTCTAGGGAGGCAGCAGTCAGAGATCCCACTCTGCTGCACCTCCTCTCGAAGGTCGGTCTCGCTCTAAGAGTCCTCACCGCAGCCTATCACCTCCTGAGTATCGGTAAGTAGTTGGAGGAATTATATAGATGGTGCCTGTAAGTGTTGGTTGGATATAGTCCTAAAACATATATTCTATGCTAAATACCTTTAGTAGTTTGGGTATTACTTATTTTGGGTCATAAGACCCATGGCTCCCAAAACTATTAATTCCCAAACTACTGTTTTAAGACTGAAGACGGAAAAAGGTAACCTATCATATTTTCGTACTAATCAGTCTTGATGGTAAGAATTTTACATGTAGTCTTGTTGATGATGTAAAAGTACTTCTTTTCATTCAGTTGACATACTCTAACAAAAACTACTTTGAACTTTGATAGTAGCCAACCCTTAATTTGAATATGTATACTGAAAAATATATAGGTTTAATGATATCAATAGAAAACCGATTACATTGACATGTTGGAAATATCTTTTGGAAAGTAAGGTGTTTCTCAAGTGGCTTGACTGACATCTTCATCTCCGCCTCGGCAAGTCACTGAGCTTTTCTCTTTAAAACAAGGAAGGACAAACCCTCGGGCAGTAACCTTCAACTGATATAGTTGACATTGGTATCCTCTATGACACTATTTGTGTTTGCAACCCAGCTAATGTAGATCTTTCACCAAAAATTCCAAAGTGACTTCCTAAATGTACCTCAGGTTTGAAACCACCCCAGACTTACATATGAAACAATCTGTAGGCTTCAGATTATCTGAAACTTAATATATGTTTGGATGTGCAATAACTGTTAAATTTAAATTTAAATAATTTATTGGTGAGCATTGTATGTGTTAGGCCTATTCAATAAAAAAAAAACAGGCATTTTTTGTTTACTTCCCGTATCTGTTCCCAAGACGGTTTCTGTTACCAAGACATTATTTTTCATATCATCAGCAACTTGCCGTTTTTTTACCCCTTGCTATTCTACTTTTAATGTGGCTTAACCTTCAGAACATTACCTACTCCTGATTTATGTTTTCTTGCTATTCTTACTTTTTATATTATTTTTTAAAATGAAGAAATATTCCGGTGAAAAACAATGACAGTTTAACAGTAGATTCTTACTTGTAAATATCATTTAGTCTGCTAAGACCTTCTGTTCTGTATCCTCTGATGAAATTTTTAACTTAAGACAAAAATTGCAGTGTGAGTCTAATAAGAAACGTATGGCAAAGTTGGGTAAGATTAGCTCACTGCAATCACAAAAATCGTAAAGATATTGCTATTGCTTTTGAAAGACTACTTTTTCACACAATTGGTTTTCAATTTCAGAGTATACCAGCCGAATGTAGTGCTTCCATCCCACGCGTATGTGCCTCGCTTTTCCTCCAGATCAGCCACCGCTACCCCGATGACGTCTCCCAAGAAACGTCAACTGCCTCAGATACCCCACACAGCAATGCTCAGAGAAGCTCTCCGCGAGAGAGTCACACAGGTCTGTTCTAATTTGTGAATTTTGAGTTACCACTCAACTCGAGATCGAGTATTTGGATAAAGTCAAGTACTCTCCCACCCCTAGAATTTTGTCAAATCGTAACATGAATCTTAAATTGATATTTTGTTTATTGAAGACGGAAGATAAGTACTTTGAGGTGATTTTAGATAAAGAATTAGGCCTACATTGAGTTGTGTAGTACTTGGGTTGGATGAGATTATACTTGTAGTTCCCGGACGAGATATTCCTTTCTGATTTTTCGGACGTTAACAAAAAAGGATTTTTCTTTCCTGCAACAAGAAAATCTTTTTTATATTGAAAAATCTTTAAATTGACCCAATTACAAACAAAATACATAATTAGCATTTATTAACACTGTTTTATTTCATCAAAACATTAATCCTTGATCGCAGAACTATCGTTATTGTTCCTCACAATCCCAGAGACATCTCTCGTAGTAATAGTTGCAAAATCGTGGACATCTCCAGCTAACGCAGGCGCTCAAGTTTGCTATTGCAGTAAAATGGCTAACATTTGTAACAAATTTGGTTCTGGCCTGGGTAAATTCTGCGTTTAATGTAATCCTGACCAAAGATCAATGATATTTTACCAGAAAATTTTCCAAAAACTTAGGACCTGTCTATTTATATATTTAACACATCTATTTCGGTGATAAAATGTAGTTGCTGTTGCAACTAGTTTCAGTTCACATGGAACAATCTTCAGGAATCAAATGGGGAAAATCATTGCTTCTTTGGAACATTATCATAAGGTTGTAAACCAGTACAGTAGACTCCCTCTCGTTCGGCCTCGGTTGGTTCGGCCTCCGGATGGTTCGGCCGGCCGCCTGGATAGAGTTTTTTTTTAATTGTGTATCTATAAAACGGAAGCAGATAAGAATCTGACTTCCGTTTTAGCTCTAGTTCACTGCACACGTGTTCACTGTTCAGTACAGTACCGGACGTTCGTGTGTGTACATTAGTTGTTGTGACTTTGCTTAGTGAACTGATTTAATTGTGTTTTGTTAACTGAACTTTAACTTATAAGTGACTGTACGTACTTTACATTATTATGAGTGCTAAACGAAAACGTACATTTGTGACAATGCAACAGCGGTTGCAAGCTCTAGAGAGAATAGACAAAGGTGAATCGGTCCAAAGTATTTGTACAGATTTGGGGGTTGGTAAAAGCACCGTGAATGACTGGCGTCGAAACCGAAAATCGATCGAGGATTTTTGTACGCAGATTGAATCGGAAAAAGCTCTTTCATCACGTTGCACTTTAAAAAAACCTAAAAATGAATTGGTGAACGATGCTCTTTGGGTGTGGTTTATGCAGGAACGAAGAAGGGGAACGCCGATCAGTGGCCCTATCTTAAAGGAGAAGGCGGTTATCTTACATGGGAAACTTGGTGAGGAGGGGGAATTTGTCGCAAGTGAGGGATGGCTTTCCCGTTGGAAAAAAAGACACGGGGTACATTTTCTTGGGGTGTGTGGCGAAAAGCTGTCGGCAGACCCTGCTGGTGCAGCTGAGTTTACAAAGAAATTTGAGCAAATTATTGCTGAGAATAACCTAAGCCCGGAACAGGTTTATAATATCGATGAAACAGGGCTGTACTATAAACTCTTGCCACGGAAAACATTTGCTGCAGCAACAGAAATGTCTGCCCCTGGGTTTAAGGTCAGTAAAGATAGGATCACAGTGGCACTTTGCTCCAATGCTTCGGGTACGCATAAATTGTAATCGGAAAATCAGCAAAACCGAGAGCATTCAAAAACTTGGACGTATCAAAACTACCAGTGTACTACCGGGCTCAGAAGTCTGCTTGGATGGACTCGTATTTGTTTAAAGAGTGGTTTATTAGTGAGTTCGTGCCTAAAGTAAAAAGTCGTTTGATGAGTTTAAAACTCCTTGTAAACGCACTTCTTGTTCTTGACAATGCGCCTACCCATCCGGATGAGTTAGAATGTGATGGCGAGTCTGGAATAAAACTGTACTATCTGCCCCCCAACGTAACAAGCCTCCAACCAACAGCCAATGGACCAAGGGGTAATAGAGTGCTTCAAGAGAAAGTATCGTCGAAAGCTTCTTTCAGAAGTTTTGTACAAACTGGATAGTGACGAAAACACAGATCTTATCAAAGTTTTAAAGACAATCATTACATTTTACATTTACATTTGTTGTCATGAGAGCCGAAGCCCCCTGACTGCTTACCCGGTACCTATCCTTCAGGACATACCCGGGCCCCATGATGTAGGCCGAAGCTTACGCATCAACCTTTAGCACATCATGGGCGGATGACTTAAGGTCATCAGGCTCGCCGGCTGCCGAAGCAGACCCTTCGGAAAGAGGGTTGCCCCTCAATCCTAACCAGGGATTCCGGCTGCTTGTTTAAGCGTCACTCCACCTGGGTTCCACTAGGTCGGAACCTAGAGGTCCATAGTAGAGCGCCCCGACGCATTTAGTGCAAGCAACACTCGGGACCTATCTAATCCCTGACAGGCAGAACCCGCCATCAATAGCCAGGAGGAAGGGGACCATCAGCACGCTGACGGGGGGAACCCCAACCTCCCATTTACACCGCTGCCCGATCGAGGCCTGACCCATTGCTGGGAACCAGAGATATCCAGAGCGATAGATCCCCAGATACCCCTGGCGGGCTCGGACCCAGCACCCGATCTACTTCATTTGCCCGTCAGACCCAACATCACTGCCAGGCCATCAGGGTTTCCCAAAAGGAGGCAGGTATAGAAGTGGGACCCACCCGGATGAACCTATCCACCAGAGGTGGCGACACCCTTGACTCAATTGAGGTTCCGGGAAGAACCCCCCACACTCAAGATAACCATACCGTCCGTGCTCAGAGACAGGGATAGGTTTGCATAAGTACCTACAAACCGTTGCCCTCACACTGCGGAAAGTTACGTTGCCCTTGAGTGTCCCCGTGAGCTGCGGGTACTTGCCCGTTTTCACCTCCAGGAAAGGTTACTTCCAAAGTCGAGGATTTGCCCACTGAATGCTGGTCGCACACAACAAGCAGGCCGAAGCCCAAAGAACCACAGACACAGGTAGGTTAGAGATTATGATGTACTTCCATCTCTCCTAGAGCTAAACACCCCTCCATCCTGGATAAAGGAATGTCACTGGGACCCGATGCCCAGTCGACCATGTCTGTGGCCAACTTGAAAATGCCGATACCAACACGGAGCATTTACCTCCCCTCTGGGGGCTAGGTATTTCACCTCCCAGGACGAGGCTACTTCCAAAGTCGAGGATATGCCTCACAAAATGTCAGTCGAACACAACAGGTAGGACTCAGTCACAACCACAGTTACAGGTAGATGAGGAGAGGCGGAATTAACGGCGTCACTGAGAGCTAAACACCCCCCCCCACCCTGAATGGAGGGAATGTCACTGGAGGCTCCCCCTAAGGGGCTGGCGCTTACCAGTCGTCCATAAAGACAATCAACATGAAGGACGTGATTTTCATGGTAGCGAAGGCCTATGACGAAGTACAACCTTCAACATTAGTTAAGTCGTGGAGAAAGGTATGGCCGAATGTTGAAGAAGTTGTTGCAAGTGAAGGCAATGTTGTTGATGTGCACAACCTTGAAAGTGAAGCAGACGACCAAGCTTACATCCTAAATAATTTACAGCAATTGCCTCACAGTGAAAATGTTGAGCTTGAAGATGTTTTGGAGTGGGTAACTGTCGAAAAGGAGGTGGACAATGAAATTTTGAACGACAAAGAAATCGCTTAATCAGTTTTACAGCGTCAAGAAACCCAAGAAGGAGAAGAAGAAGAAGGTGGCGACCGTGATGAGGACGACGAGTGTAAAATGAGTCACGCAGAGGGAATGGCAGCCCTGCAACTGGCTACAACCTACATCGAACAGCAGACGAGTTCTACAGCAGTTGACTTAATGCTTTTTAGAAAATGGCGTGACTATGCTAGAAAGAAATCAACTGAAGAAAAGGTACAGCGAAAAATTACTGATTTCTTTTAAACTTTGTCATTACAGTGCAGTACTGTAGTTTAAACATCATTCCTGTAAAATTTCAGTGTTGTGTGGATTCTTTTTTATTGTATTTAGGCCTACATTATTTATGTTTATTGTGTGTGAAATAAATGAATAATGTCAGTACAGTGTCAAGTGTTCAGTACGTGTTTTTAAACAATACCAACATTTCTGAGGGTAAGTTTAAAATCTACACTTAGCCTAAGCCTAGTCTTATTAATTAGGTTTAGTTTAGTGTATAGATCCCTTATACTGTACAGTAAGTCCATTTACGGCAGAAAAAGTAGTCTTCTTTATATATCATCGGTTAGTTCGGCCATTTTTTAGTTCGGCCGGTGGTTCGGTCCCGAGATGGCCGAACGAGAGGGAGTCTACTGTATTGTTGATTTTTGTCAAGCAAGTTTATCACCTTAACAGATCCAACCTTAACAACCTAAGGTACAACCTAATCCCATTAGTCTTTTAACTGATTACAGAGTGTCTTTGTGTCTAACTCTTATGGGTAATTGTCCCTCTGTTGTGTCAGCAGGACATGGAGGAGCGAGCACATCTCATGAAGCAGAGAATGAGGCAGATGCAGTCTAGAGGGTCAGCGGGATACACAGGTAACATTAACTGTACACATTTTTATTTTATACTCGAGGGAACCTGAGAGATTTTACACAAAAATTAGACAAAAAATCTAACAAATTGATCAAATTATCTCCATAACTAAGTTGAAATAGGAGTGTTGCACGAAGTTCAAATGTCACAACGTTTAATGATATAAGTCAGTGTCACGACATTAAAATATAATTTTTGAGCTGTCTCACAACGACCAATATTATTTGACTGTTGCACAACGTCCCAATCTTATCATGTCCAAAAGTACAGTAACTGCAAGAAACACATAAGCTTTGGACGTCATAAGATTGGTCGTCGTGCAACAGCATTTTTTATACTCTTAAAAACTTAGCAGTACCACGTCCAAAGCCGCTGCCAGTTGCTTTCCAATAGCTCAGCGCTGTAGCGCGACGTCGAGAGCTCCTGCAAGGCTAGATTAGGTTAAGTTAGGTTAGAAAGGTTTAAAATGTGGGTAACAGCTAGTTTTTCAAATAAAAAAATCTTATGTATGTACATAGTAACATAGTTTGTTTTTTTTTAATTTGACCTAATTTAAAGATAAATATAAAAGAAAGAGTTGATGAACTTCCAACTTTGATTTGCTTTAATTCTCCATTTATTTTATTGTGGGTTGAAGCTGAGACTTAATCAGGCATACTCGTCTACCATCTATCGAGTCAGTCCGTTTATTCCTCAGTTCCAGTCTCTCAGTTCTAGAATTGATAATGTGAACACAATGGCTCATATGAACGGGTTCTTTAGTCAGTATGATCAGAATAACTCGTTTGAATCGAAATAACCCTGACTGAACGATTCACCTTTATTTCAAAGTGTGTTATTTCCCAGGGAGCATGTCGAGGCACTTCACCGGCCTGTCTGACAGCGACCTGCCGTCGTCTGACATGGACAGGCCGTGGGGTGGCCACATCCCCGGCCGCACGATGACGTCACTGGACAAGGATATCATCGGGACGACGGACCTGGGCGACAGCGACCTTGAGAGTGTCGTCAGCATCACTAGCAGTGCCTTCTCTACACAGAGCGAGCGACCTCGCGGCTCACGGGGCTTCAGGTATACCACTACTACAAATTCATACATTGCCAATACAGAAGTCTAGCATGTAAAAGGCTCTGGTATATAACAAGCAAACGATGTAGCACAGCTCTGAAAGCAATGTTACGACAAGTTTTGTAATGTTTAGTTTACATAACACACTAAAATTTAGGATTTCTGTGAGGACAGCATGCTGACCTAAATGCGGGTCTACTCTGTCCCAAGAAACACAACACTTTACACTATACGCAAAAATTAAAATGTCTTTGTTACTGCAGCATTTTAATCTAGGAAGGTTTGAGTTGGAGAGATAGTTGGACCTGAAGACATATCTTCACTTGGTCTTCAATTCTTAGGCTGTGGAATCCTAACATAAAGATTTACTAAACGTATCTTTATATCCATGAACTTGGAATAATAAATTAGAGTAGATTCATTGTAACAATTCATGAAATTTACTATTCGTTTATTATTGTTCATTGAATCAATGTTTAAATGATTTTAGGAAATGGTCGTGGAGTATACATGCTTGTGTTGATGTTAATATCAGTGAGAACTTTTTAATTCACACAGAATACTTATTTTATTGACTGTAAAACGAACCATTCACTAAACAATCAGTAAAGTTTAACTCGGTTAACCCGATTCCATCTTCCTCACTGCTTACTTTCAAAATAACACTCATTGATAGCCTCTTACCTTTTGTAGAGATTATGAATCATCATTATACTGTGGTAAAATATGGTGATCCCTGCAAAAATTGCTCAAGTGAGTTTTTACTTATTTTTGTTTCAGCACTAAAACGCGAGATTCCTTTACTGGTAGCCCTAGTACTTGTAGTTTGTGTAAAGTAAAGAGTTGTGTAAGCAAACCGTTGTTCCGTAGACAGAACTCACTCCCCAACCCGGGTATCTCACACCCTGTACGAGTAAGGTTGATCTGTGATAAGCATGCCTTGCATGAGGCTCCATATTGCAACGTGCTGCAATCGGACAGTGACGTGTCTAAAACTATTCATGACGACGACGATTCGTTTCACGAAAAATACTTGGAAAGTTGTAAAATTGTTTCAAACTGGGACAACAACTTTAAAGACATAAACTTTGACTCAGATTGTGACTGTTCTGTCCCGGTTTGCACGTTGAACGACACGTCAAGTTCCGAAGAACTGGCGAACGAGAAACCACTAACGGTGTTAAAGAAAACCAGGTTCAAACTCGACGATTGGAGACGAGACTCGGACATAACAGACGACCTTTACGAAGTCGTGGACAATCAGGGGGAAAGTGAGATGAACGTAGAAAACAACCAACCAGGTGTGTGCAAACCCGAGGAAAACAAAAATAGCTCTGAGATAAATTGTGAAGACGAAAAAACAAGTGATAACGTTAAAGTAGAAGTTGACCACCCTCCTGATGACACTCTCCTCAGCCCTTGTAAGACCTCTGACACTCCCACCCCAGACTCCCCCAGTCACAAACGTATGTTTCTCAGATGTAAATCACAAGTTGAAGTTGAAGTTGAACCCTCTGTCACCCCTCCCTCTGCTTTGCCCCCTAGCGACTACGGAGAGCGATCTCACACGACGGTACAGCCGCCACCACAAGGGGGACACAACAAGAGGCCGCCGTTCTCTAGAAGTCTCTCGAACGCGGACGTCCAACCAGACGAACGTGGTGGTGAGTGTTCCGGCATCGTTGAGATTAATAATTTCAATATTTATTACTGACAGTTAGAAGAAAGAAATGTACAATTGTTATGTTAGCCTCAGTTGAGATATGGTAGTGTATGCAATTATTAATTATTAATGCATATCAAAAAAAAATAATGAAGTAAAACGTCAGTAGTTATGCACATTCTCCAAATATGTATTAACTTTTTTAATTGAAATACCCCTGCCGCAGCAAACCTACAGACTAAGCAAGTAAAGCTGTAACAGACTAAATAATTAACACTCAGAAGTTATGCAGACTGTTTGTCAAAATAAAATACTGGTTAAAAAACTCACCTGTTTATGGGGTTTGATAAAACTCACAAAAATTGTAATAATAGTATCAAGTCTATATATTTAGTAGTCAAAAAGAGTCTTATAAAATTTGTCTTTTTACACCTTTGCTATCATTAGTTTATCATATTTATGCTATCATATTTATGAATTACGTTTACTGTTAGATACTGAATCCCATCAAACGGAACAACTGTAGCCAATTTTTATTAAAAAACAAAAATTTTTGATTGAGCCACTCACAAGAGTGATAATGGCTCTATTTTTCCTCTCTTAGTGTTGCTTCCTGCGATAGGAAATGTAGCCTAGATGCTATAGTTAACAATAAGTAGTCTATTCAAATCAACTTGGTCAAGTTGATGCGTTTGACAGAAATCAGTACACACTGCCAGAGGCTCAAAACTGGCTACAACTTAGACATGGGAACAGAATGTCTACTTGAATCCATAATCAAAGATGTTGATCAGTGTTTACCTGTTGCAGACGGAAGTCTAAGTGACACAGCCGTCAGTCATCATCACCATATCAACGGGTCTCGCCGCAAAGCAGCGTCGGGCAGCGGCTCTGGCACGACGAGCGGCAAACAGTCGCACAGTCAAGGCATGGGCAAGAAGAGCAACTCTACCAGCCAACTGTCGGCCACAGGTATGCTCAGACCCACAGAGAATGCAAGTGAAAGTGTGTGTGTAATAGAGTGTGTTGGAGTAACTATATGGTCTCAAGTTGGAATTATAATGTACTGTAGAAATCATGAAACATTAAGGAAAACTGTTTGTAAGCTTTTCCAGCCTAACTGGTTTTTTAGGCTAGCAAAGTCGACTAGCAATTTTTCTTAGTATGTGTGGATGAAACATATGCAAGTTCTATCAAAAGTAAGATTTCCCAAGATTTTTTTTATTTGACTGCTGTTTTTTTTAATTGATCAAATAAAAGTCACTTTGGGATAAAGAATGAGATATCAATTCAGAAAGCCTTATTTTTTTAAATTACAAGTTCTGATATTCGCTTAAGTTTATAAATTATCTAGAGAGTATGGATGAAAGACTGCATACTCTTGGAAGGGTTTCAAGTTTCAATAAAAATGAACATGTTTGACAATCTCTTATTGTGTTGGTTCAGGCCGCAAACGTAGGTTAGGTTTCGGAACAAAAGGCAAATCGTCGTTCACCGTTCATCGGTCCGAAGAGGTGCTGCCCGACGAAGTGCGACATTTGATCAAGCAGGGTTCATCTGTGTCGAGCGACGGGGAGGGCTCGCAGGACGGAGACAGGTCCTGACTTGCACTAACACGTCCTGCCAAACAAACTGCAAACAAAGAGTAAACTCTCACTACCATGACCCAAAACTGACAAAACTGTTATAGTCCTCGCCACCCTAATTTGAGGCAGCCCAAGGCCACACTAGATATACGGCGTGCGGCCTTGGGCTGCCTCAAGTTAGGGTGGCGAGGACTATAGTGTGATGATTATTCGTTTTGTTTGATGACTTTTTTATAAAAAAAAGTAACCAATAGGAATTTTTCATGATGTTTGGTAGGAAAATAGTAATTTTTTATTCACGGTAACCTTCATATAATTCTTAAAAAAGTTCACCAAAATGTTTTTTTTTATCGATGTAGGTATATTTTTATTTTCAAAGAAATTAAACAATTAGTTTTACTTTTTCATTACCTTTTTTTATCAACAAATTTTAATTACTAATTTCATGTGTGAATATATTTTTAATTAAACATAACAAAAATCCTTCCTTTCTCAATCTATAAGTAAAAAAAAAAACTAATCTACCATCCGACCAAAAGTTTTTTTTTAGGAAAACTTCAAAATTATAGTTCAGTTAGATTAAAAAAATATCTACACTGAAATGATGATAATATTGATCACAATATTCAGTATATGAACATCTTTCATGACAATCTTAGTAAAATCAATAGAATTTATGATCTCAGCGTCTAATTTAAATGCCAAATAATCTGATCAGATTGGTCTACACATTCTCAATAATAGATTGTTTGCTATTGATTAACATTGCGGTTTTTTCTGTAGAGTTACAGCCAAAATTGTAATGTTTCAACTTGTTTTGTTTCACTAAAATCAATTGAATCCAAGTATGGTTTCAAATCATGAGTTTGTTTGCAGTTTATTGGTTTTTAAATATCCTTATAAAAGAATGAAGACCAATTAACGCGAGAGCGAAAATCTTGAGGGAAGTTCTTCAAATTTAATTGATCTGAGGACCAATTTTCTTTGTGTGTATCCGTGATTCGTTCTACGTACGTTTTCAGGTGTGAGTGGTTGTATTGTACAGTTTTCTATCATTGTGATGTGATCTGTGTTTGCGATTGACATTTCCAATTACTTTTTTTCTTCTTTTTACTTTTTTCCAGACGGTCAATTAAGGATGATTTCCATTTCTATGTTTCTTTTGTTAAATCAATAAATTGTAAAAACTAATTTTCCAAAAAATACATATCAATTTTTTTAAATTTAAACATTTAAAATTCATTATACATTAAAACTTTGTATTTTCTTTGATACTTGTAAGTATAAAGGTACACTTGAACCTACATTGAACGTTGTTATAAGAAATGGAATGGTTACCTGATAAACTTACTTAAAAAAAAAACGGTTCCAGTTGATACTGTTCATTATCAACATCTTGGAACTCTTTTCTTAGGTGAATTAGTTGTTTATCCATTCCTTCTTTCTTATTGTATTCATAAACCAAGTGGTGTTCCCCCCAAAAATGTAAGTAATTTTTGGCATTTCAATATTTGAAGAGAGTAAATATACTGTTACATATTGGTTACAGCCATTATATGCTCACTAAACGAAAATAGAATACATTTTCTTTAAAACCAACCCCAACTATAGTTTATTCGTTGAAAAAATGACTAACCTTTCTGTTCAACACTTTACCTAAACATTACAAATCTTGCCCTGTAGAAACTGGTAATAATCTATTCATTCGGTTCGGAAGTTAAGTTTTTTAAGTGTTTTTTGCATAGTTGTAGAATGTCCTGTTGTTGCACTTTGTCCATCTCTTTTATAAATTTTCTGATCATTTGTCAAATAAAATTTAAAAAAGCAGTTGTGAACAATTCTATCCGCAAATGTTGTATTTGTAATAAGATCTTTTTTTTAGCTTCTACGGCCAATGAGCAAACTCTAACTAACAGGGTGTCTATCAGTTACCGTACACAAACTAACTTCTATGTTCTATGTGACCCTTTTCTCCCCCAAAGATCACCTGCAATGAGCAGAGTTTATTCAGTTTGCATAAGGAAAATTTGTTAGATTTCAAAAATCATACGTTGATCATCAAATAAATGATGAAAGTGTATAAACATTTGTACAATCTCTTTTACATTCAATATTTGGTTTATGAACAAATATATTTTCTTTTCCTTTGTTACTTTAGGTAAAATATTAAACTGGTTTTAAAATAATACAAAATATAGTTTACCTAAACCATCCTGGTATAAGAAATACACAAAATTTACGCTGTACAAAAAAACTGAAATATTCCACTGTCACTGACAGGATTTTGAAACAAGCAAGTTTTCAACTAAAATTTCCCTTGGTCGAGACAGTGACATATTCTACGTTTTGTTTTTCTTGTGCCAGGATGGAACTTTTCCACTCAGGCAAGCCTAACTGCCTTTGTGCTCTATCTTAAGAGTAACAGAGCGCAACTAAAAGGCACACCAAAAATTACCTTTAGAGTTTTCAGTGATTCTGGTGACTATCATTGTAAAATCAGTGACTTTTCAGTGAGTCTGAATGTAACACGTTAGATTACAGTTGCAATCATTCAATGTTGGAATGTTATCTGTCGGACTGTCTGGATCCTCAATGTATCTGGTTGTTTTCCTCTTGTACAACTCCCTCGCCAGCTTGACTGTTTCATATCCTTCCCACTTTCTGTGTTCATGTACGTGTTCTTACAGGATTCTATCCTCGTTGGTCTGTATGCAATGCTCCTTGGCTCATGAACGTATCTTTAGTTTTGATCGGGGCAGCACTGACTACTGGATTTGGATTAATACAAGTGTGACAAACGAAAATAGTAGAGGCGGCTATAGGGTTTGAGTGAACATGTTTTGTGTTTTTCACTAGGATATTTAACCGAGCTTTTATGATTTTTTGTAAGATTTTAATATTTTTAGTGTAGGTTATGAATTTTTGCAATTTGAAACTTAGTTAAGGCTTTTTGCATTTTGATTGCTAGGAATACAAGTAATTTTGAGTGAATATTTTTAAATACAAAGTATGTTTGAGAATATTAAATGTCTTATTTTGAAAACATGAAAGAGGTTGTGTGCTCTTTCTGATAATTTTTACTGTTTTTTTTAACTTATTTAATGCTTTAAACTGTTAAGTATCCTTTTTCTAACTACATTTATTTTAATTCAGTTTGTAAAAACCTCTCAAATCATTTAAATTAACTTTTTTACATTTTTATGAATAAATATTCCGTTGTGTAAATTTATTGAATGAGAAATTTAAGTGTTGAAATATTAAATTGTTAATGATTGTAATTGCCCTAAAAATTCTTCTTTTCTGTTATTTAATGGCCTTGATTTAAAAAGTATAGCTCCAATTTTAACTTTGAATAAAATGAAGGAGATAGTTCCCCAAACTAAGATTAGAGATTCGTGCATTGAAAGTACTTGTATATTTAATTTAAGTTGAGGGTATACTAACATCAACTTGACTGAGATTTGAGCTGTACCATTGAGTTTTGGATACTAAAGTAGATATCCCATCTATATGAACCAGCTGTAGCTAATTTTCTATTAAAAAATAACTGCTGAATGAGCCACTCACAGATAATTGAGATAATGCTTTCTAAAATTCCATTTCTCTCTTCATTTTTTTATGACATAAACAATCGTATAGTTTACCAAGAAATGTTATTTTAGTTTAGCTTCTAGAGAAAAAATTGGCGTATTTGACACAATTTGAGTTTATTTACATCAGCACGATCTGTTGGTGCCTCAATTTAACCTCATTTATTTCTCTAAAACTGGCTACAACCTTAACATAGAAATGGAATGTCTAGTGGTTATCCATAGTCAATGGTTGTACATAGAGTTATGCTAGGATGAGTGAGAGAGTGAGAGTGTTACTCTGTGTAGAGGGAGGTCGACGGGGGGGATTCGCTCGCTCACATGAGGTCTCCCCCCTTCCCGTTCGTCAATCGAGCAGTCACAGCATTTCTAGTTCTGACGGCTCTTCGTAAGTAGGCCATCGGATCACCTCCACCCTCCCCATGCCAGCTAACTAATACAAACACTGTTAAACCAAATTGTAAACAAATAAAAATAATTAATGTAGACATAATGTAATAAAACAGTTTAAACATAATATTTCTAATTAAATTCACTTTTGATTTAATTTAATAAGTAATTTTAATTAGCTAAAACTAACTCAAGTTGCGTAAATAATTTAAATTTTATAAATAAATTGTACGTTATTTGTCACAATGAATTGACATATGTAATGGTTTTAACCCTTTGCAATCTGAAATAGGAACAATTTTAATCTTTGTCCAGCTGTATTGACAACGTTCTTTTGCACAGTTTGGTTAAATTTCACATTGGCCCGACTCAATTGGCCAGTGGTACTGCCCAACATAAAAACATTCGCTCAGCAACGTAGCTACTCATGGATAAATCTTGTTTTTCAAAAATTTGTTATGAAGTGGTAATACCTAGTGAGCAAACTTTTAACTGTAATAACTCAAAGTTGGTGAGAAGAAGTTTCCGATTCTGAGCAATACACAGAGAAATTTGGCAGATACAGCTGATATTGAAACAATTCAACTCTGTTTACGTCAATGACGAGGCCAGTACGACTGGCCAACTGAATGCCAAGGGTTAATATACCAACAATCACAATCTTTAAGTAATGATATAACTACTTCTAACAAACTATTAATCTTAATATGTGAAGATTGTACTTTTTCGCTTTTGAAAAACATACATAACATACATAAATTTGACGCTGTAACATTTCTTGATGAAATTGTAATAAAGAAATTGTCAATTGTCTAATCAGTTAACTGTAACTAAAGCAAATATAATGCATAAACCAGTGAATGTGCTAACACCTCAACTCCCACAATGTGATATCTTGGTGTAAAGTGGCTGCACTATCGTCAAACGCACTGTGTTCTTGTGTTGGTGGTGGTGCTATGAAGCATGATCTCTATGTTTTCATTATAAGTACTCGTACCTCTTTGTTTTCAATTTTTATATGCTATGTGGCATCGAACACTTCACAGTTGACCTCTCCGCAAAGCAATGTTTCTCGCACTGTATAACACTCACTATTCATTTGTGTAATCCGAACTTTGGTTTTGTAAAGATACCGACGTCATCATGAACCGCAAGACTTGGAAGGTTAGGCATGAGGTTTTGAACTGCCTAAATGGATATGGAAAACGATTGTGAGATTGAAAATGTTTAGAATAAGAGACATTTGAATTTGTATTTCTTATACACTTAGGATATCAAAAAGGGGTGATAAACATCCATACTAAACTGATAAAGAGTTTAACTAACTTTCAAAAAAGCAGTGTTCTCTATTCATTGGCTCTATGTTTAATCATTAGATAAGATTATTAACATAAAAAAATACAGTTACAATTTTAAATGAACTATTATATTATAATACAATGAACCAACCACATTTATATGGAAACTATCCATTGCACATAGCTAAAACTTCAGTCTGATAAATGCCTTTTTCGTTAACCCTTTCCATGTAACCGGTACATCACTAGATTTAAACAACAAAGAAGATAATCAGAAAACTAAATACAATATTTCAGCTCTAAAAAAATAATGTTTTATTCATAAAGAGAAGTGCCAGGGGACCGAGCATTGCTCAGTGGTGTTATTTTTGATTGGGACGTTGCCCAAGCCGCCACAGTTTTGTGCTAGGCCTACAGAAAATGTAATTTTGATTCTAAACCAATTAATTCCAATTATAAATCCACTCTTTAATAACATATTGAAATGTAGTATACCTAAATTAATAAAGTCAAAATAGTTATTAAACACTGAACATAAACCCTCCGAATACTCTATATGGTTTTAGTCTGGGAAAATTTAATTTCAAAGGCTAAACTTAAGTTTGTGAGAGAAAAAATGTCATATCCTCCATTTTTAGCTCTAGAGGTTTGTTTTATGTGCTTGAATGTTTTAGGCCATTTTATTCTCAGTGCGTAGAATGATTTACGTATCGTAAATAGACATACAGTAAATGAAACATAAAAATCACTTCCAGTATTAAATTGATTCAAATAAACTACAACTGTGAAAATTTACAGCTTTGTTGCTTCTGTGGTTTGACTTTTGTTGTTTTGCCTCTAAGTGTTGTTGCATTTTCTGTCGTACAAGTGTGGAAAGGCAGCAGAGAAGACTGGAAGGTTACTAAACCAGACAAAAAACTCGTCAAAAATGTATTCCCAGTTTTGTGAAGGTAGTGCATGAAATTGAACAGGAGTGTTGAAGTTTCCGGTAAACGATGTAGATTAAATCTTAACCCCGAAGCTATCGAACTCGATGACTACCATCTTGGCCACTAGCATCCACAAAATCTACGCTCAACTAGCACGTGAATGCACAATCTTTTCTGTCTATCCCTACGGAATTGGTCTTCATTCTATCTCTATCTATCTTTCTTTACTCTATGTAGTGTCTAGTATTAGTTAGCCTTAATATATCTAAAACATTTCTGTGTATTTTATTCTATAACTTGTTTTTGTGTTTTAGACATAGTGTATTTATAGTGCATTGGATCTGTATTGGTAATGTTTTACTATTACGTAACGCTAAGTTGAATAGGACGAAGTAAAAAATCTCGAAACTACATTGAATGATTAAAAGGATTTTTTTTAATTTGTTTAGTAAAAACTAAGCAAAACTTGCTAATTTGAACTTTTAAGATAAATTAACTGCAATTTATAAGTTGAATAGCATAAACTAAATTATTGTTGGAAGCTATACAAACCCTGGCTAAAATTTATTGCATGACAAATTTTTGAAAAAAGAATTTATCAAACAAAATTTTAATCTCCTTGCTTTTGGCTTCTGCATCCATTAAAACACTACTCACATGCAAATGTATGTTGTAAATTTGAGTCTAAATGATTCATTTACTCGTATGAAATGAAAAACACATATAGTACTATTGGAAGACAAAGATGAGAAATTTAACTATTCAACAAGGATTGTAAGAAGCAGAATATATAAACATAAAAAAACAATAATTTTATGTATATAAAAATTTTACATTCAACATTATATAAAAAGTTGTGTTAAGTATCCAACAAATTGCAATAAACAATTAAATGTAGAAATAAATTATATTAATCATACCTTAAACTCGTTGGTTCCACATTCTTGAATGTAATATATCGATGATACTTTTAAATTATTCATTTTATAAATCTTTTGGACATTTTGTTCAATATTTTTTATTAGTTTTGAAGTACAGTAGTCTGCACAAGTAAAACTTAGAGAAAAGGACATTTTCAAACAAAAAAATAAAATCATTAGAATATAGATGCTTCTCCCTTAAACATTAATCTGATTAAGAATAAGTAAAGGTTTGCAGATTTCCCTCTATCATAATGTATAATTAACACCTTAATTTTAATCTACAGGAAACCCCCTAATATCTGGCCTCGGAATTTCTGGTCCTCGGTTTATCCGGTCACATTCCAGAATCGGTACCAAAAATATTACCCATGGCTGTACACGTAGTCTCCATGATTTTCGCGTTCTTACGGTTTATCTGTTTCCTGTTCATATATATTTTTAGCGGGTTGACTACCCAGTTGAGCTACTAGATTCCCAAAAGAGACTCAAACACTACTTTGAACCAATCACAATAGATACGAATTATCATTTTAATAATAGGTTGGTTTATTCGGCCAGGGGCTCGGTCCCACGTAGGCCAGATATGAGGAGTTTTACTGTAGTAGGTTTGCATAGGCAACTGGCCTGACTGTAGTTTTGTTCAATTAATGTACACCATTATTTTTCTTGTAAAGTTTATTTGAAAGATTGCTGTACTATATACAATGACTGCCAGTTTATTTTGGAATCTTAGTATATAATGTACAGAGTAATAATACCCCATACTGGAGTGATTAGAACCACATCAAATGTGAGTTTTTACAAAAGCTGAAATTTAAGTTAACTTTAATTATTTTCCAAAACATCTTAAAACAATGTTGTGTAATGTGTTATGGTGTTGAGGGAGCAAGCTGGTCTAGTAGATGGGCACTGGGCTTTGGGACTTCACACGGGTTCACAGGCTATGATTTGGTTGGCTATGGGTTGGGACTAGATCTCGGGTTCAAATCCTGCCAACCACAATTGCTTCAGCAATGTGCTATTTCCACGATCCTCTATATTCAATTCTACGTTCAGTGTGCAGTACAGGTCTTACAGAAGATAGTTGTGCTATTAACATTACTGAAAATATCATGCGAGTTGTGTCAACTGAACTGGCTACTCAAAGGCACCAAAGAATTATTTAAGATTTATTTCCGTAAATGCAATTTACTACAATAGATAGATATTTCAACTTAGCAATTTGGATTTTGATTTACTTATAAGTCATAGTAAGTTGTAAATGTACCAGAAAAAAATTACAGTGTGTCAAGAGTTCTGATGTTTTTGGGACGGCTAGTATTGCCGAAACTTTGAAATACATGACTTACAGACAATTCATACCGCACAGTGAACGTAGAACGTATAGAGCTTGAAATCCTAAGATATATAGAGAGTAGAAAAATTGTAAAGTTTAAAAAATAAATCAATCAAAAAAGAACAAAACTACAGTCAGACAGTCTTTGTGTATTACCGGAGGAAAGTGTAACAATTGTTTGTGTGGGATAGTTGGGCGCCATCACTCAAAGGTTCAGACGGAGGTCCTCTGTCGGACTTTATCGAGGGGCTAGGCCCTGGACAGCTGGTGGGCCGGCAAGTCCTGGGGGCTCCGTCCTTGGGCGACATTCAGCTCAGCATGTGCTACCAGAAGGGATATCTGGAGGTGGAGGTGATACGAGCGCGAGGGCTGCAATCCAGACAGGGCTCTAAAGTGTTACCAGGTATGAGACAAACGTACTTCCATACATTTTAGTAGACTAACCTGAAAGAGAAAGAGTCCTCTATGGCGCAAAAATGTTACATGATCAACTTAGATGATTTCTCCGTCACTGACAGCTCTCTCCAAGTCTCCAAGAAAGGATTGAGTCGGAAACCTCGAAGCTTTCCAGCTCATTGGGTCCCATAAGACAGGATACATTCCCACTTCATAAATTCCTAAATACACTAAAAATCATACCTCAACTGTTGGTTGTTAAATATTTAAACCGCCTTCCAACTGGGACCCACCACCGTTGCCAACAGATCATTTGTTTGAAAAGTACACAAATTTTATCGTGCGATCTTTCTCAGACCGTGATTATTTACAGAAACTGCTAAACTCCTAATTTTGGGAATAAGAATGGCAGTATAAAGCTTTAAAAACCTACACAAATACCTCACGAAGGTTGGAGCACTGTTGTAATAGAAAAATCTAAGTCAGACATTCCACTTGAAATGCTGTTCGTAATATTGGAATATTCTATCTACTGTATATTGTTTAATGTTCTTGAGCCTGAATGAACTCTTCCCAATTTAGGAAAGACTCGTATAAAAAGTTCATAAAACCTAAGCCATTGTGCTCAATGTCAGATCCTTAAGATTTTTATTTTAGTGTTAACTAACGTAGTAGCCTAGAGGACATATAGAATCTATTTGTAACACTTTATAGCTTAAGAAAGTTTTAAGTGTTTGTGTCGTAATTGTAAGAGTGTGTTTTGATTTATATTCATTGTTATTTTACTAAGTTAAAAATCACTGCAATTAAATAGAACGATCTTGTAAACAACTGTTTTTCACTCAGTCAATAATTGTATGTACAGTACTTTGAGGCAAACACACAATATTGACCTACTTTATACTCCCTCCTTAGACTGGTTACTCAGTTACTGTAGTATTTTTCAGATTGTTATTTAGTGCTATAGCTTAGTGTGAGAAAGTACATTTTTACTTAATTTTTGATGATCATACTTAACCCATATGGTTGTGTGTGATAACAATATCATTTTTGTCCACAGCGCCTTATGTGAAAGTGTACCTTGTAAGTGGGAAGAAATGTTTGGCGAAAGCGAAAACAGCGACAGCCAGACGAACTTTGGATCCTCTTTACCAGCAAACACTCACCTTCAGGGAACCTTTTCAAGGCTGCATACTGCAGGTGAATGGCTTGATTCTGTGACAAAGGGTGAAACAACAGGTCATATTGTTTAAAGGGATGTTTCAGTTCTATCGTGAATTCTATTGTGAATAAACAGCAATTTGATTTTTTAAATTTTTGTTCGTTGATGGCGAATAACTAAACGGAGAATCAAGAATCAATATTTTTATTCCGTTAGACATGTACATGCATTTGTATACGTCAATAAGGTTGATTACATGCTGCAAAAACAAATCAGGCAAAAAAAAAATCAAATCAATCAATCAATCAATCAATAACTAGTGTAGCTGTTGCTCGAATTCGAGCAATTGCTAAGTATTACAGGCGTTATTTTAAAACAAATAACAGTCATGATTTCTGATGACTGAGGACCCAGTTACCATTACTCTGAATCAATTTAAACAGCAATTTGATCTATGATTTTTTAAATTTTTGTTTGTTGATGCCGAATAACTAAACAGAGTTGATTGTGGACCCAGTTACCATTATTCTGAATCAATTTAAACAGCAATTTGATCTATGATTTTTTAAATTTTTGTTTGTTGATGCCGAATAACTAAACAGAGTTGATTGTGGACCCAGTTACCATTATTCTGAATCAATTTAAACAGCAATTTGATCTATGATTTTTTTAATTTTTGTTTGTTGATGGCAAATAACTAAACGGAGTTGATTGTGGACCCAGTTACCATTATTTCGAATCAGTTGTATTTCTAAAGCATATTTTGACTTATTTCTGTAATGTTATGCTTTTTATAGATCTGTATTTAACTTAATCATTTGGCTCTCAACTTTGTGTATTTATAATTAATATACAGTAGAACCCCGCTAGTCCGACTGCTCACTTAATCTGACCGTGCCTCCACCAATCAATTATAATGTTATTATAGTAATATTGTGACGATATTCCATGGTTGTGTGAACATTATCAACGTATCCCGCAATCACAGCAAAGATTTTTTATCCCCCCTCCCTCCCACATTATCATGGAAACATCATATCAACCATTTTCCTTGATCACGGCAAAACCCTAAATATCTTCATCAGTAATGGAAACATCATCATTGTCTTATGCGATCACGGAAATGTTATTGTCATCTCCCGCGATCACGGTCAAAACTATGAAATCTCCTGCGATAACAGATCAACATTGTCTTTGGCCATTGTGGCAAAATATTTTACATCTCCCAAACTCACGGGTATATCATGATCGTCTCCCGTCATAACAGAAACTTTATGGTTTTTTGTTATCTGCGACTGTGGCAAACTTCTGAAAATCTTTTGTGATAACAGAAACATAATCAGCAATCGTGGAAAACTCCTGAACATACTGCTCCTCGTATAATCTGACCTTTTTACTTTTCTAGCCCATGGTCGCGTTTCCGCAGGTGGATTAGCAGGGTTTTACTGTAATAGTAATAGAGCATGAAGAAAGAGAAAGGTTTTTGGTCACCTTGTGCTGAAACTACCATTCAAATAACTTAAGGCTTATGGACGCTTCGTACTGGATGGTTGTTAAGAGTTCTCGAGACATTATTTTAGCTTGAAATAAAATGAAAATCCTTCTTTATTGAGGCAAACTTAGGACCCCATGGTCCTTCCTTACATTTAATCTCTAGCTCTTAGCTTGTGAAGTGCCTTGACCTGTTAATTGAAAACTAAACACAATTTATTTAGAAAACACAAAAGGTCTCTTAGGCAGATTTCCTCTGTATTGGGGAATTTTCCATACTTAAAGCTACACGATAATTATTAATTATCTATTATAAAGTATGTGTTTTATTTATATCTGCTGTGTGATTTTGTCTAATAAACGCACGTTTTATTCATTCACTTATTCAATTACTACTCTTGTTTGTTACAGGTTACAGTGTGGGGCGACTATGGCCGTATTGAAGGCAAGAAAGTGTTCATGGGAGTCGCCCAAATCATGCTCGACGACCTCAACTTATCAAATATTGTGATCGGCTGGTACAAATTGTTTGGGACCACATCCTTGGTTAGTGGGCCCCCTTCGCTGGGCCTCTCTCGACGCAGCTCCCTTGCTAGTCTTGACTCCATTAAGTTATAGTCCTCCCCACCCTTGTAGATAACTCCTCCGTTTTACGTTCTCTTTTAGTTTTTCCTATGATTTTCTCCGTTTACTTTTCATCTTCCACACTTTCCTGGTCCGTGGCAATAAAGTAGTGACGAGTGAAAAGTTTTGAATTGCTCCTTTAAAATTGTCAGCTTAAGACGAGATTTATAGTTTGCGATCGAGCTTTTGTATTAACGAGATTTAAAATATTAAAATATAAATAATCGCTACATCCCTAGATATGAGTTTTCAGAAAAACTGTATTTGTACAAAAAGGGATATATTCGAACCTGCAGTGCTTCTTGACTACTTTATAGTCAGTCCTGTCCTACATATCATGTGAATGAAAATATTTTTCACTTTTCTACTTTTTTCTTAGCTTTAGTTTGTCTGTTTAGTTGTAGACCATCACCGGGCTTCTTCAGCTGACCTAGGTAACTTGTAGTTGTGTTTGTATCTCTGTGGTGTAGTCTGCTTTACACATGTTCTGTTGTTGTTTATTGCTCTCTAGGTGCTTTGTTGTTACACACTGTTAGTCGAGGGAAACACAGGAGACTTTGGGATCAAAGACTTAAAACGGCCGACACACGACTCAAACTTCGGTCGATAACCTCATCAACTCAACCTCAAATGTTGTTTCAATTAATGCTAACCGTTGCAAATCTGGGAATTTAGAGATTCCAACGCCAAATGTTTAATCAAGGTTACTTTCTTGTTATTACTGGGTTATTATTCATTCAGTTTCAATACCCCAAGTGCCATTCCAACCTGACCTCGTATTTATGAACACAACTACTTCAAGGACTAGAAAAAATAAGTAGTTAAGATAAAATTTAACTTACGCAGCCATCGGGTGCTGCTGTAAAAATTTAGTCACCTCCTTCTTGACTCACAAACCATTCAATCAAATAAACAAGACAAGTGTCAAGTGGAGATCGGGCATCTGAATCCAGTACGGATCCCATTGACGTCCCGAGTTTCCTCCTATTTCAATCCCAAAATCTCCAGTGTCTGTTTACAGTTAGGTAGTTAAGTGTCATCAAGTAAAAAAAATAAAGGATTGTGGTTAGTTTCTCTCGAGGGACAAAAAAAAATTAGTTTAGCAATGGAGCATTAAAAAAATTCCAAAGTAAATTTTGGACATTATTGTTGTAGTTTTTGGAAGTTGGTTATTTCAACTTTGTTCGGTTCATTGATCACAAATCACGCTAAGTAGCTTGGGAAAATCTAACTACATTGAAGTATTTTGCTAAAGTATAGCTCCGAAAATAGGAGCTATGAATCTTAAAAAAGTGAATCTACTGAATAAAAAAGTAGCTTCTAATGCAGACAATAATAAAAATAAATCTGTAGTAAATGGAAAAATCTGCATCAACATGCATCAACAATCTGACTCATCCATAACTCAATGTGTTATCAGCTTAAACATATTTAAACACAAATTTTGTTAGTATGGTAAACATTTACACAAACATTAGTGTTTATTGGAAACAATAATTAAAGAAACTACTCACTTGGAAGTTTAAGATAAGCTTATAATTATTAGCAATATTTTGTTTTATTGTGTATTCTGCATGAGTGTTAGTTATATTTTCACTTTACATTAAACAATTTTTGAATATCAGTTGCGTGTCCTTGTTTTGTGTACACAACATTAAGTATAACACTAACGATGACGATACTTCATTGTAACAATGTAAACTTAAAAATAAAAGTATAATTCTCATGAAAATGGGATTTCAACAAATTATTGTCAGGGATCAACTAATTCCTCAATTTGTATTAAAATTATCCATGATACGAGATATATACTTGTATTTTACAATGAACCTAGATTTGAAAAATTGTATGCTAATTGATAATTTATTCACTAAGTTAAAAGCCAGATACAAACAGACACAATTGTACTGAACAAAATAATATAATATACCACGAGGACAAAATTAACGTAGCAAAAAGCAACCATCAATCTGTTAGGTTAGCGCTGTTAAGAGTCCTTGGAGCCTAGATGTAAAACATCTACTAGCATGTAAAACAGTTAAAAGAACTACAAAGAAGATTTATAATCTCACTGTATAATAGATATTTAAATAACAATCACTCTGGTGTTTGATACAATATTTTGAGATGGTAAATAACTCTTCAGCGGCTTCTTGAAATTAACAAAATTAAAATTGCTCTTATGGTGGGCTAATCCAAGATGGCCGTTAGCTTCTATGGACTCCCTTGGAGATTAATTCAAAACTACAAAGAACATTTCAAATCCCACAGTATACTAGATATTGTAATTATAATCACTTTGTTCTTTGAACAAATATTTTTGGGCGATAAATAACTCTTAAGCAGCTGTTTGAATTAATCCAAGATGGCCGCTAGCCTCCAAGGACTCTTAAACATAAACTACAGTCCAATGTAACGTCCCTGAACACTCTAATCAAGTCATGATGTCAAATGCAAATGGAGAAAAGTGTAATTTAGCATCAAAGCAAAACTGTAATCCTAATAACAGAAATACCAGATTATTTGTTATACCTACTTCAGAAGCAATGTTTAAACAGTTCTGGTAATGTTGATGTGACCTGAGTAATTTTAAAACAAGTAAGCATTTTTTTGTAAAACTCAATCTTATTTCCAACATCTGTACTACGATTGTACACGATTACCGCTAACTTTACTTTTGGTTGTAAAACATATTTGTTGATAAAATATCGGTAAAAGAAATCAATGTGTATAAAAAACTCACAAAATGTGTGGTTTTTAAATTTGTACACTACATCTTGAGGTTGTTGTCTTTTGATGCTTTTCCTGTTCAGTATGCATGCTTGTCATTGTCCTTGCTGGAACCATAAAACTATTTTTGTCGAGGAATCTAAATCGGAGACTCTAAAAGTCGAGTAACTAAGAATTTTAATTCAATCTGGCCTCAATCTCGCCTAATCCCATGAAACATTTTACCTAATAGTTAGATACGGACAGTACTTGAAAGAGAAATAATGGATTAATCTACTTGTGAATGCAATAAAATGTTACATAGGTAACTTTAAAATTTTCTAAATTTCAAATCACTCATAAATTACTATCCACTATGCAATCACTGTAATTTTTATTTTGGCTTAGATGAGCATTGCCATTTTGGTTGGGTAGTTTCATAGTTGTCACTGTAAAATAGATAATTCCTTACTTCTAGCATGGAAAAAAGCATATTTCAAGAAAACAGTAATACGCATGCTGTATATAGAATTCTTAGTTAAATATCTACTTCTAACTAGACATAAGAAATAAATTAATTTTAATATGTAAAAATCATTAATATTCGAGTGTTTGGATTTGGAAGTATAAAAAGGTTTCTAAAGTAACTTTATAATTATTTTGGCAGATTTTGAATGGATCTAAACTATTTCAGGATAAACAATTACAAACCAATATCAATGGTAAAGTATAATTATAATAACTTGTATTATAGAAACCCATTGTGTTGTGATTTGTTTTTATATTGTTTTTGTTTTTCTTAGTTATATTTTGTTTGAATTAAACCAGTTCATAAAACCGGTGGTAAGTAAAATTGAATACCCTAATTATATTTCTAAGACAAACTTCTTTTACTACATGAAAAAAATACATATCTTAAATTATTTTTAAAATAATTAGATATTTAAATTGGAATGGTTATTAAATAAATTTCCCATACTAAAATGTAGCCGGACAGTAGCTGAATGTTCATATTATTTTATGTGTTAATTTGTGTTTTTTTTCTACTTTTATCATTTATTTGTTTGAATTTGCACAAATGGTTTGAAAATGCACAAATCTATGTGGTCACAATCTTCTTCTGAAGTGGGTAAGTTGTTAAAAGCCGTAAAATGTTAACCTACACTAGATTGTCAAGAATAACTTGACAACTGAATCAGATGTTTACCTGAGCTAATATTCATTTGTAGTGATTAGAAATGTGTAATCAAATTGTTAACACATATAAATACATAAATAAGGACACAACTTTCAGTCGTAGATATTAAACTGTTCTAAAGTCAACTTAACCATTTGTTGTAGTGTTTTCAAACTAATAATGATCATTGATGTTCCCTGAACTCACCTTCTCTTCTCCCTTCCTTATCCACTGGTATCGAATATATTCTGTTTATTCAACTAAATATTTTATGCATAATCAAACAAGATTTGTTTTGCGTAAACCAATTATGGTATTGTATTTTTTTATATTTTCGTTCAATTACAAAAAGAACTTCCAACTCCAATCACAAGAAAGGAATATTTTGGTAGGAATTCCGTTTACAATGGATACACATTGCTAATATAACAAGGCTTTCACTATTTTCTACAAAACCATTTATCAATCATAATGCTATTGAATTCAACATGTCAATATTGCCTTGGACTTGGTGCAAAACGTTTTAATTCATTATCCTTATAACAGCACACTCTACACACTTTTTACTGCCCAAGTATTTAAAATTATAATTCAATTAATAGGAAATTTTTCAAAAGTACAAAAGACTCCCTTTTGATTGGTCACCTCGAGCGCAAATTTTTACGGGTTATGTTAAAGATGCAGACCCTTACTGAACCATTGAATGTTCAGATCCAGTTAGTTTATTTTGTTTATTAGTAGTTACTATTAAGTAAGCACTTCAAAAACCAAACAATGCAACATCAACATCCATACATCTGAACAGGCTATGAATTGTTTGTGTCTTAACTCAACTCCGACTTAAAATATGTACCCCAGTCTGGCATGTCCTAACACTAAACAGATCAAAACAACAGGGAGTCTAGTACCTACATGAATTTATCTACAAGATCATATTGACCCTAGTGTTTATCATGAGGCAAAAGTGGTATTTTGTAATATTCTTAGCCTTACAACATCCAATTCACCAACACTTTTCTATTTACCACTTTGTTTTCCAGTGTTAACTTATTTGTATGTCTCTGTTCCAGTGAGTGTTTCGCTTACGTGTGACTCCAAAGAACGTTAGTGTGGTGCTATAAGTGCGTTTGTTGGTTTGTGGCGGTCAATGCTCATTTTTTTACATTTGACAAATATAATTTAAAATTTCTATTACCATTTTACCTTTAGGTAAAATATATAAATATATATATATAAGTAAATATATATATATGAAATTATACTACGAGATTCAGCAGCACACGGTGTCTCGTCACGTTGTACAGATAGGTTCTAAGTTATAAGCGATGTTGTGTACCATTCTGTTCCATGTTCTATGCGATATTGTCGTGGGATGTTGTAGACGAGGCCATTTACTCCCCTAAGGTGGAGCGCTTGTTGAAAGTTGTATGATTTTTGTGCTTTCTTTCTTGTCTTATCGAGCTTGATGATTTTAGCTCACTCTGGCGGAGCAGGTATTTTTTGTAGGCTTCCCTCCGACTCTTGTTATCCGTACGAAGTTAAGTCAAAGTAGAATATAGACTAGCTACTTATGTAAAACATGTGCAAATTTTTAAGGACATTTTTATACGCTATGTTAAGTTGTATTTGGAATTGTACAAATTTATGAAATAATAATTGTACATATTTCTGTTTATCAAGCCGATCTGTTTGTATCGTAATATTTTCTTTATTAGTAGCACAACAATTTATTTGTGAGATTGACATACGACCTGACAGATTAAAGCTATTTATTACAGATAGATTTCAGTGCTGGTAACGTTAATGGTTTGTTTGAAAAGCTTTAAATAAATCTACCACAAAGTACTATGAAAAATAATTTTAAAAAACTGAAATAATTTGTTTTAGTTCAAGAATACTTAAATGCAAAATTATTTTTTATCATAAGTACCTATGTTATAACCATATTGCTAGTTATGAAAGGACTCTTATGGTATTTATAGATAGCGGAAAAATTAACATAAGAATTATAATGGTTTAACCTAAACAAAAGAAAATGTATCAAATATAGTTGATAAGTAATGTCTTGTGACATTTTGGTTTCTGTGAAACCACTTAACACATACAAGTAAGAGCTAAACAAAGTCCTTTAGGAAATATTGAATAAAGCTTCAACATATTTTTAAATAATTGATGTACCTATTTTGTTTGTAAGTGATAAGAGCGAATATATTTCCAATTTGTAATTTAGTGTTTTCTGGTTAGCAGAGTATCAAGTTAATAGAAAAAATAACTTAAAATTTTTAATACAGTAGTTTAACATTAAATCATATAAAAGTGAAAATCCCCTGATTTTGAGAATGTTATTTGTAGGTCAGTTATTTATTTATTTTTATTTCTTACAATTTATATTTTATTGCACTTCCAATCACTTTTGTGTACTAATTTATAATTTCTTTTACTCCATGAAGTATTTCCTTTTACACTTTGTGAATGAATCATTGCTACCCCATATTGCTGAAATGTGCCTTTTTAGATAACCTCTCATTGTTTCCTTTATGTATTTGTGCACATAATTTGAATGTTAGAATTTGTCACTGGATGCTTTTACAACATTAACATGAGGTATTGAAAGTTTGTTTGATTTGCGTTGTTACATCTGCAAAGCTATCTTAGAATATGTAAAAAAACATAACTTTAAACCATGTTTGCTGACCTTTGTAACTCGCAGACATTTTTATAACTGCAATATTTAACTTTACGATTATCTTTACAGTAAGGAAACATGTATAATGATTGTACACTATAGCAAAGCTAAAAAATAATTTCTCGGATCAAAGCTAACAATAAATTGTAAACATGGCTTGACATCGTCAAAAATGATTATCATTTAGTATAACTTTAGGAAAACTCAACTTATCTTTTATACATATACAATTTTCATATTTGAAAGTCTCAAGCAGCTTTGAAATATTTCTTACAAAACAAATGATTAAATCACAAAATATCAATATAATGACTCATAGTTAATTTAATTCAATGAAGTGATCTATATTGATGTAACTTGAAACAAGTGAAGAAGTATTTTTACAAAACCTAGATTACATTTTGTATTTTTTTTACAAAAGTGTTTCTTACTACTAAAATAAACAACGTATCGTTTACAAATCCAGTGATCTTTTAACATTCAGTGCATCGCGGCCGGAGTTTTTATATACATGACAATAACAAAATGTTTAAAAGCACAGTTTCAATCCTAGTCACGTTCTTCATTAGCTTGTGAAATTCAAATTTAGGCTTTTCGTTTGCCTCTAAATTAAGTAGCGATATTTTTAAGGTAGTCGAAAATAGTCTATGAATTTGGCTTGTAAATATCTTTCGGGTTTAGAGATTGTGCTCAAAGGGATATTTTTGTTAGTGATAGCAGGGTGGTGATCTGTATCCATATCATGCAGAGTGTGCGGGCACCGTGTGCTGCTGAGCTCTAATGAGGGCGACAATACAAGGTCTTAGCTCTGCTGTACTCTAGTATGTATAAAGGCATTTATAAGTATTCAACTAAATAATTAAACACATTTCTGAAATATACTCTGAGTCTTCTCTTTCTAACCTATCAGCTTTAGTCTGGGTAGCTGAGTTGCGATCGCACACAAAACAGAAGCTCACTTGTTCGATATCCAGATGCTTGTAAGATGTACAGTAATGGTGCTATTGTTGGTGGCCTATTGGATTTAGGCATTATGCCATCTCAGAGGATGTAGACCACTACAAAATAAAGCGGAAGGTTTGCCTAACTATTGTTACCGAGTTATAAAAGTTTAAAGCTGTGTAGCTAAAGGTAAACCTGAGTGATTTTGCAGAAGCTCGGTGAATAATAATAATTAAAGCTAAACAGTAAGTGTCTTTTGAGTAGGCTAATTGTTTTACTACATACTCCAGTAAATTTTTTGGGTGTTGTGATTTTTTTAACCGACACGAGGTAAAATCCAGTTTTCCTAGCTGCCAAATTTGGCTGCACTCTTCAGGACACCAAACAGCTTATTATATTTGGCAATGAGTGATTTTAAACAAAAACATAACCTCTCTTAGATGATATGAATAGTGATTGAGAATAAGGATTTGTACAGATTTTTTATTGTTAAGTTTGCTTCTTAGAGTAGTATGGCATAAAACATCGTACGTCACTTGTCAAAAATGTGTTTACCGGATTTGTATGGTAATCCCGAACGCAACTTTGTCTTGCATGGGAATGACCACACTCGTCCAGTAAACACCTCAGGACTAGTAACATGGTATTATACTATTTTCTTTCTAGCTGCCGAATTCGACAAGTACTATATCATGAAAAACTAGACATTCACAATACCACAGTGTGTGGCGGCAAGATCCCTTACTCTACATTGCCAACAATTATACTTCAATACAATGAAACCATTCATATTTAACTTCAGGTTTCCAGTCCTCATTTTATCAGGCTGCTTTTCAGAATTCAAAAATAAAAATTATTTTTTTAATAGGTTGGCGGCTGTGCAACGTATTAAGCAAAGCAAAGCAAGAGGTGAACCGGTACAAGGGTGAACTGTACTGAAAAAGTAGTGATAGCTACCGTGATCCGGACCCACATCGCTGCCTTGGGCCCGAAGTCCTTGGCACAACCAACTGATCCACTGACTCAACAACAAAATGTACGCCTAACAACAAAAATGTATTTAACACATTACTAAGTCCTACTCTTTCCACTGCCTCACAGTGAATCAACTTCCATATCTAATTTTATCCAATTAGATACATTTTGTTCTTCTGTGTCCACCACTGCTATGTTTTAGTTTAGTTGGCAACATCTATATAACTCTTTTATTGTGTTTAGTGGATTTATTAATATGTGTTTTTACAACTAAAACGTAGAATTAGATTTTATCCTTTTCAAAATAGAATTAATCAATCATGTAGTATTATTCTGGGTTGAGTTGCCTTTTTCACAGTTAGCTAGTTGGTTTATGTTTGGTCCTGAGGTGGTCAGATAGGAGAGGATCTACAACAACAAATACTCTTCAACACTTTTCTAAGTGGAAAGAGGAATTGAATAACACCGATACAATTTAGTAAAATAAACAAGATATAATCGACAATAATAGACGCAAGGTATAATCTTAAAATATTAATTGGTTAGTTTTTCAAGTGTTTTGCATGGAATTCAAAATGCTCCTCGATGAATGATGCGACATAGAAGTAGCTGTGGTCGTAGCCTTCCCTCATTTTGAGCACAGCAGGTACCAGCGCATTCTTGCAAGCGTTCATGAAGTTTTCCGGCAAGAGTTCACCAGCTTTGATGTATTCATCATCAGCTCCCTTAAACATTTACATCACAATATCTTTAAAACACCATGTATTAAGCTGACTAAGTTATGTTGCAGACCATTTAAAATATAATGTGTACACATTTTTTTTATTTTGATGACAACTACATTATATTCTAATCCCAGAATGAGTAGAATTGGGTCAATTGGAACTTGCTAATAATTCTCTAATAATAATCTCAATACCCTCAATATAATCCAATATAATTGGATTGGAAATCAAAACAATCGGATGGAAAAGGTTTTTTTTTAAATATGTGAGAAAAGATTGTTATTATTAATAACTATAATATTATTTATAGTTATTTTATTGAGTCAAACTAAAGACCAAAGAAGCAAATTAAAATTTAACCATGTTAAACATGACTGGGACGGTGGCGTCGTCCTGTAATCCAGCTACTAGGTCACGGATTGTGGATATTATTTACAGGCATGCACTGTGGATGCAATTCACCCTGGTGTGGATTAAGATCCGCACTAGTGAGTACTATGACTATCCACAGTACTGTCCTGATGATTAGACCAATTTGTTAATACCAAGGCATTAATTTGGTTCGGATTTCACTATAAACTGTAGGTCCCTTAGTTGCCATCGACTGTATGGGCTATTAATTAACAGCTGAAACTAAGGAAGATGTCAGCCTCAGTCACCAACAAGACTACAAGATCGCGCCACTCATCCTACACTCATCTCCATTCATACTTGGCTTAAAATACCTACTTTGTATGGTTGCCATTTCAATGAAATGTATTAAAATACTTTACGTTGATCTTCTAAATGGCAAAATGGGTTTCTTACCCCTGTCTGTTGTCCAAACTTTCAAAGCAAATTCAATTGGTCGAACATTAAACATGACACAATAAATTAAATGAAACTCAAAAGAATATACAGTAGACTCCCTCTTATCTGGACTCCTCAGGACCGAGGCCAGTCTGGATAACGGGGTTTCCGGTTAAACCGACGTCCCCAAAAACTTATTAAAACGGACCGTTTGCTGTGATATTTGACTAAAAATTTAGGAGAGCATTGTATTTAGACACGTAATCACTGGTCTCACATCTTTCCAACGAGAACAGTCGTTTCAGTACCGCCACTTCCTACCGATCTAGTCCAGTTAAACCAATGTGCTAATAAAAATTGTCCGGTTAAAGAGATGTTATTTCTGCCAAGTGTAGTCCGGGTAAAAGGTGTCCTGATAAGAGGGAGTATATTGTATTAGCAAAAGGTTGTGACTGGTTGTGCCTGCAACAAATCCAGCACCATTTTGTTGACAACATTTTGGACTACAAACAAAAGTAAGTCTCCTGTTAAATTTCTTTCAATTTAATAAAAGTAGGGGTAAAGAAAACAGTACATAAATGCCACAGCCTTACATTACTTCTCAAAATTTAAGAAATGCTATTAAAAAAAAACAAAAAAGCAATAGATTAGAGAGGCAATAAACAGGCTACCTGATCAATGAGGATGTCAATGACGGGACCATCGTAAGCTGACACCAGGCAAGTAGCGTCGTATTGTTTCCA